ATTTGGTCAAGAGTAAAGGAGAGCCATAAATACAATTGGGGTTTTCCGATCATTAACTCAACATTCAAATGCTTTATTACCCTCAATCACAAACGTGTACAAGAGGAAAAAATATATAACAAACGAATATACATTCAATACACATGAGAAGAAAAAAAATACTTTAACAGTTTAGCAAATATAAAGTGACAAGGACATATATGGTTATCCATAAAAAAGCACACAAAAAAAGGAGATATAAAGGTGGTATGATTGACAATGAGACAACTATCCACCAGAGTCCTAATGAAGTGAATATAAGCAACTATAGATCACCATACGGCTCCAAAAATGACCAAAACCAATTTTATAGTCAGTTATAAAAGGCCCCGACATGACAAAATATGAAACAATTAATTCAAACGAGAAGACCAACCTGATTAATGATAAAACAATAAACGAAAAACAAATATGACAGACAGCAACCAACGACAACCATTGAAGTGAATAACAGACTCCAGACTTGGGACAGGTGCATTACGAGCGGGTTCAAAATGTTTGTGAGCGTTCAACCCTCCTCAACCTTGGACAGTGGTGTAACAACACAACATATATTCTTGTTTCCGTACTTCTGAAATCGAACAGTTGTCTGGAATGTTTTTCGTTGTGTAGGCAGATGTTGAACTGATTTTTGGTAAATTAGTGTACAATGATTTGTGTTTTGTTTTGGTAGACGTACTTTACACGGAATTACGGCCCTTGAACATCAAAGTTCATAAGAATTATATTTGTCCGGACTTTTTTGTAATGCCTGTAGTTCTAGATTTGATTTTTGATACATCAGTATATAAAAATAAGGAGATGTGATATGATTGCCAATGAGAAAAATCTCCACCAGAGACAAAATGACGTAGAAACTAACAACTATAAGTTGTACATTGACGACGTAGAGATTGTTCTGGTTTACCGATGATGTCCGACGACCTTTTTAATAATTTTGCGGGGTCCATGTGACGTCCCTTTTGGTCAAATTCAAGTCCTTATACATCCTTGGTTTCCACAGGTTCTAATGCAGATAAATCCAATAAAGCGCTTTGGAAGGCAACAAATTAATAAAGTGTTATTGTCATTCAGTACTGGAGCACCGACTTCTGAACTGGTGTTACCATCAGGGTCAAATAGTCCACCTGCAGTGGTATCGACCAAGTGCGAGACAATAAAAATAATAACACTTTATACATTTGGTCCTTCCGAAGGGCTTTTCTGGATTTACCTTCATCATGAACGCTCTAAGCAAAACCCTGAAAGGCAAGGATGTATAAATAATTGAAATACTGGAGGAGCTTTATTACACAAAGGAAACCAATTTAAGATCAATTTTGCCTGATGTAGTTAGAACCTTAGTTTCTTTATAATTTTCAAATTTATCAACAGTGAATTAAGAAAGGCATATTATAAAATATTGCCAGTACCAAACTGACTACTAAGCTGATAATTCCCTCGAGTACTACCAGTTGACCGCAGCGATATCGACCTAGTGCTACAACTAAAAATTTCACTTATATATTTGGTACTTTCGAAGCTTTTTCTGAATACTAGTATACCGTTTTATATTTTTTACTTCCAAACATTTGATGTCGAGCGTTATTCTATGGGCATGATATGTACGATATGCATGCTTTCTAAGAATGAAAAGGTAAGGGTTTATACTTCCCAAAACATGACAAAGAATGAAAGTGTGTTGTCAACGTACACCTAAATAGGTCTCACTAATTAGCGACAAGAAGCGTCAAGAAGCGACAAGAAGGCTCATCTAGCGTCATGCAAACAATTAGTTATTTCAAGTAAATAAATATAAAAAATGCATTAAAATGGTTTGTTTTAATATATTTGTAATTAATGATTTTAACAGCTTGTGGTTTTAATAGCAAGAACAAGTTAAATGTAGGAAAATCAGCTGAACATTATTGATTTGTTTCATTTAGAATATTCAAAAATATGAAATGCACACATTATAAAATGGAAATCAAAACAAAGATTTTTCCTAACGGCTCATCAGTGTACATCAAGAAAAATCAATACACACAATGTGATACATCAAAACATAGTAGCGATACGCGCCAGAATATACAATCATTGTAAATAGAGATAACCTGTTGAAAACTCAACATTGTCTTTAATTAAAGAACCTTTGTGAGCAAGCTCACATACCCCATGCCCCCACATTGTCAGTGGGCAAACAAAATCTCGCTAGATTCCTAAGTTCAAAGACTCGTAACTCCTACAAAAGTCAACTTATATTTTTTTTCTTGTGGATATGCACATCAACGTATTATGTCCTTATTATCTTCAAAGTTTCATGAAATTCTGTTGTGTGGTTTCAGAGGAGTTGCGATGACAAACTGTTGCAGTAGTATATTGAGACCAATAAGCGCAAAGGGGTCTAACTCCTTGAAAAAAATGAAATCATAATTTCCTGTCGATATGCACGTCTACATAGTATGTCCTTATTATCTACAAGAAATTCTGTTGTGTGGTTTCAGAGTAGTTGCAATGACAAGAACAGGACTGACGGACTGTAGTATATTGAGGCCAATAAGTTCAAAGGGGCATAACTCCTAGAAAAAAATATTGAATCACAATGTCCTGTCGATATGCACATCTACATAGTATGTCCTTATTATCTACAAAGTTTCATGAAATTCTGTTGTGTAGTTTCAAAGGAGTTGCGATGACAAACTGTTGCAGTAGTATATTGAGGCCAATAGGAGCAAAGGGCATAACTCCTAGAAAAAAAAATTAATCATAATTTCCTGTCGATATGCATATCTACATAGTATGTCCTTATTATCTACAAAGTTTCATGAATTTCTGTTGTGTGGTTTCAGAGGAGTTGCGATGACAAGAACAGGACTTACGGACGGACAGACAGACAGACAGACGGACGGACAGACGGACGGGTCAAAAACATTATACCCGACGCAATAAATTGCGTGGGGTATAATTACTGTTAAACAGTGGATGAGCTCTATAATTATTTTCCCTAAAGATGTAAACAAAGAGAGTTGATAAAAATATAAGATAAACATATTAATATTCTTAAACAACGGTAAAAATTAATATCAAAATATGAACGGGAAAACATAGTATTTGCTGTAATTCCTACCACAAATATATGTAGCAGTTAGATCCATCTTTCAAAATGTATAATGCTTTATTACTATATGTTTTACCTTACTATTGTATAATTTATATCAAATACAAAAAAATGTATTATAAACAGAAAATCTGAGCGAAATTTAAATAGCTACAAAATTTGAAACTTAATAAAATAACAAATAATAAACTATAATTATTTGTTTTTTTTCTATAAATTTATATTTTTTATAGACTATACACTTTCTTGTCGCTTCTTGTCGCTAATTAGATAGACCGGGAATAAATGGTCGTATAGCTTTCAATGGCTTAGTTACAGTTATATTAGGAATACGGTAAAGGGATTATCTGGTATAAAGCATCCCGAAAGCTTCGTAATTAAAGAACTTTTCCAGTGATAAACAAAGCTTGATAGCTGCTGATAGTGGTTCGCTGTTAATGTGTCAGATATTTGGAAAATGTTATTTTACGTCCTTTTTTAGTAATATCGTTCATAACAGAGACAAGTATAACTATGTCAATTCCATTGATCGAAGTAAAGTGGGATTGGGACATGAAGATTTAGTATTAAATCAAAGTACTGAAGTACTGAACATCGGATGACCGCAAGTTCTTGTGGATTGTCAAAAGCACTTGTCACAGAAAAAAATCACATCTCTATACCTGAAACTGAGGTTAATGTACAGAGATATTTTTTTTCTGAGACAAGTTCGTGCGTGGATGATGAATAGATTACAGGAAATTCAACCTCACCGTAATAACTATTATATTGTAGTGATACAAATCAGTATACACTGGTTTGTTGTTATATATTATATTAATATAACAGTTACATGTATATATAATTTTCATCCATTTGTATATCATTCTATTCTACTATTCTAATAAGAGTGCAGTGCAAGTGCATGGTGGACACTCTTCTGAAAAAAATCGATTTATCTAAAAGATTGAAGAGTAGGCATTCATATTTTCCCGCAAAAGCAATCTTCCATGCAGTTTTACCGGTCCTTGCCAGGATTGTCGCAGAATGTTCTTGAAATATTCTTCCGCATGCTTTACCATATCAATGAATTTTTACTTATATATATATATATCTAGACTAACGGCAAAACATTTTCATATTATTAATTTATGTTCTAAACAAAAATATTGTTATCAGTATTCATTGAAGAGATGTATTTATAACAAACGATAAGGAATGTTATTTTGCACTCGTTAATATCCGTGTATTTATCATGTTTATAGATCGGTTACAAACCCAAAACGAAAGTTACGTAATGGAAATCTAGGTCATCGCGATGTAAAGAGTATGTAATTGAACATGTCACATGTTACTAATTATATACAAAGTGTTTCCGTGCCATAACATCAGTCTTAATACGACCTCCAATCCATTGCGAAAACCCATTTCAAATGCTGCTGGATCTAACCCAAAAATGTAACATAAAATAAAACTGACGCACAAACATACAGATATGCAAGGAAAAAGATTGGTTGAATGTTGTCTTCTTTAAGTACAGTAACAAATATATCATGCATATTCAGGACGAAAACAAATTGACAATAAACAAAGTAGGATCTGCATAGCAAAGTTGGAAGACCGGGGAGAAGTTGGGAAAATCGACTGCCATTGGAAAATAAGTACATGATGTAAAGAGTCAAAAAGTTAGCCTAAGAACAGGTCAACTACGAATTTCGTTAAGAGTGTTGTTGCAATGGGCCTTGTATATGAAGAAAGAGATAATTCTCCCTATACTTGGGATGGGATTTAATTTACACATTCCGATTGATTATCGGTACGTATTTTATACATCCAGCACAGATAATTGTACCTCCCCTTTTACCATGGCTTTATTGCCGGAGGGTAAAAGTCCATGAAGATTATATTTCTTTGCAACCATTGGAAAAAAAGGAAACTCAAATGTTACATATCATTTTCAACAATTAACAAAAACGAAATGTATATGTCATAAACAATAAGCTATTTTTCCTTCCTCCTTAAAAAAGTTTTTGAAGCAGCATATTTGGTTCCATAAACCAGAAACTGTAAAGCCTTTAGACCAAAAGGGTCTCAGTTATTTGGTCCTATATGTTTATCACATCTTTTGTTTATTGTGACGCCTCGTCATGAACCTGAAAACATAATAAACAAAAATTATCGATTAGAAGTGCCGAATGTTCTTCCTTTACAGAATTAGGATATACACTGTGACGTTTTATGGACTTCGTCTTGCGTTTGCTGCCATCTTTAATCTTCAAAAATTAATATCAAAATATGAACGGGAAAACATAGTATTTGCTGTAATTCCTACCACAAATATATGTAGCAGTTAGATCCATCTTTCAAAATGTATAATGCTTTATTACTATATGTTTTACCTTACTATTGTATAATTTATATCAAATACAAAAAAATGTATTATAAACAGAAAATCTGAGCGAAATTTAAATAGCTACAAAATTTGAAACTTAATAAAATAACAAATAATAAACTATAATTATTTGTTTTTTTTCTATAAATTTATATTTTTTATAGACTATACACTTTCTTGTCGCTTCTTGTCGCTAATTAGATAGACCGGGAATAAATGGTCGTATAGCTTTCAATGGCTTAGTTACAGTTATATTAGGAATACGGTAAAGGGATTATCTGGTATAAAGCATCCCGAAAGCTTCGTAATTAAAGAACTTTTCCGGTGATAAACAAAGCTTGATAGCTGCTGATAGTGGTTCGCTGTTAATGTGTCAGATATTTGGAAAATGTTATTTTACGTCCTTTTTTAGTAATATCGTTCATAACAGAGACAAGTATAACTATGTCAATTCCATTGATCGAAGTAAAGTGGGATTGGGACATGAAGATTTAGTATTAAATCAAAGTACTGAAGTACTGAACATCGGATGACCGCAAGTTCTTGTGGATTGTCAAAAGCACTTGTCACAGAAAAAAATCACATCTCTATACCTGAAACTGAGGTTAATGTACAGAGATATTTTTTTTCTGAGACAAGTTCGTGCGTGGATGATGAATAGATTACAGGAAATTCAACCTCACCGTAATAACTATTATATTGTAGTGATACAAATCAGTATACACTGGTTTGTTGTTATATATTATATTAATATAACAGTTACATGTATATATAATTTTCATCCATTTGTATATCATTCTATTCTACTATTCTAATAAGAGTGCAGTGCAAGTGCATGGTGGACACTCTTCTGAAAAAAATCGATTTATCTAAAAGATTGAAGAGTAGGCATTCATATTTTCCCGCAAAAGCAATCTTCCATGCAGTTTTACCGGTCCTTGCCAGGATTGTCGCAGAATGTTCTTGAAATATTCTTCCGCATGCTTTACCATATCAATGAATTTTTACTTATATATATATATATCTAGACTAACGGCAAAACATTTTCATATTATTAATTTATGTTCTAAACAAAAATATTGTTATCAGTATTCATTGAAGAGATGTATTTATAACAAACGATAAGGAATGTTATTTTGCACTCGTTAATATCCGTGTATTTATCATGTTTATAGATCGGTTACAAACCCAAAACGAAAGTTACGTAATGGAAATCTAGGTCATCGCGATGTAAAGAGTATGTAATTGAACATGTCACATGTTACTAATTATATACAAAGTGTTTCCGTGCCATAACATCAGTCTTAATACGACCTCCAATCCATTGCGAAAACCCATTTCAAATGCTGCTGGATCTAACCCAAAAATGTAACATAAAATAAAACTGACGCACAAACATACAGATATGCAAGGAAAAAGATTGGTTGAATGTTGTCTTCTTTAAGTACAGTAACAAATATATCATGCATATTCAGGACGAAAACAAATTGACAATAAACAAAGTAGGATCTGCATAGCAAAGTTGGAAGACCGGGGAGAAGTTGGGAAAATCGACTGCCATTGGAAAATAAGTACATGATGTAAAGAGTCAAAAAGTTAGCCTAAGAACAGGTCAACTACGAATTTCGTTAAGAGTGTTGTTGCAATGGGCCTTGTATATGAAGAAAGAGATAATTCTCCCTATACTTGGGATGGGATTTAATTTACACATTCCGATTGATTATCGGTACGTATTTTATACATCCAGCACAGATAATTGTACCTCCCCTTTTACCATGGCTTTATTGCCGGAGGGTAAAAGTCCATGAAGATTATATTTCTTTGCAACCATTGGAAAAAAAGGAAACTCAAATGTTACATATCATTTTCAACAATTAACAAAAACGAAATATATATGTCATAAACAATAAGCTATTTTTCCTTCCTCCTTAAAAAAGTTTTTGAAGCAGCATATTTGGTTCCATAAACCAGAAACTGTAAAGCCTTTAGACCAAAAGGGTCTCAGTTATTTGGTCCTATATGTTTATCACATCTTTTGTTTATTGTGACGCCTCGTCATGAACCTGAAAACATAATAAACAAAAATTATCGATTAGAAGTGCCGAATGTTCTTCCTTTACAGAATTAGGATATACACTGTGACGTTTTATGGACTTCGTCTTGCGTTTGCTGCCATCTTTAACAGTATGGCAAGATAACTTCTATATAAATTATACTTCACTTTAACCTTATCAGTCTACATGTTTACCTAAATTGTTGTGCAGTACTCCCAAGATAGTTACCCTTCTTAAAAACATTATCATTTGCCAAGTTTATATCAAATATCTTGATTTGGCACGTGGTTGTCTAGCTGTTTGTATTGTTTTCATGTTTTAAATGAACATTACCTACGAGTTTGTCAGTATAATTTAAAGTATATTTTTCTTGGCTTCAAACATTTACAACCAACAATCAATCAATCAAACTTTTAAAATATAATGGTATGAGTGCCAATGAGACAACTCTCCATTCAAGCATGGAAGATTGAATAGTTATTTGTTATAAGCAGACAGTTTATAGAGATATAGGGGGAGGGTTGAGATCTCAAAATACATGTTTAACCCCGCCGCATTTTTTTGCCTGTCCCAAGTCAGGAGCCTCTGGCCTTTGTTAGTCTTGTATGATTTTTAATATTAGTTTCTTTTATATATTTCGGAGTTTAGTATGACGTTCATTATTACTGAACTAGTACATATTTTTGTTTAGGGGCAAGCTGAAGCACGCCTCCGGGTGTTGGATTTTCTCGCTGTATTGAAGACCCATTGGTGGCCTTCGGCTGATTTCTGCTCTTTGGTCGGGTTGTTGTCTCTTTGACACATTCCCCATTTCCATTCTCAATTTTAGATTGTTCAATTTTGTAAAAAAATAAGTCCATAGCATCGCTGATACATTATTGCCTTGCAAGACAATAATTCGAACTCATTTAAACCCATATGTTTAAACTCAGCATTGAAAAGAATGTCAACTGAAAAAGTTATACTAAGGTCGAACAGGAAGACCGATTTTGTTAAATGTTTCGAACCGCAAAAATCATTGGTATTCATTTCTGAGAGAATATACCTTAATGTTAAAAGTGATGCGAAATATACCAAAGGGACATTCAAACTCATAAGTCGAAAATAAACTGACAACGCCATGGCAAAAAAGAACAGGACCAAAACAAAAACAACAGTATGCAATACACAAAATTGAAGACTGAGCAACACGAACCCCAACAAAACCGGTATTAATAAGATTGTTATTTGTAACGGGACTATATGGTAAGTTAGCTAGACAGTCAATGTATTATAAAGGCAAGAGCAGCACTACAAGTGCCTTTACAAGAGCAGGATATGTTACCATTTCGTAGAACCTGCGTCTATGCCAAGTCCTGGTGAAGTTCGTGTTACTCAATTTTAATCTTGTTTAAAAAGGTGCAGAAAATAAGAGCAGGCAATCAAAACCCAATTAATTGAAGAAAAACTGACAAAAAAGATGCGCACAAAAACAACAGTCCACAAAACTTGACACAGAAAACAAAAGATTGAACGTAACTTGTGGTGAAATCAAGTGCTCCGGAAGCGTCAGCAGTCTCTGTTCCACGAGTGACACACGTCGTATTACCACCTCTGACACCCGTTGTATTACTACTACTGACACCCGTCGTATTACCACTACTGACACCCGTCGTATTTCTACTGTTGAAATACGTCGATGATTCAGATGATGACAAATAATGAAATGGATTAATGAATCTTGTCTAACACTTGTCACCATCAAATTCATGTAGTTTTAAGCCTTTTAATTGTCCCCTTGTAATCTTCAAATTTTTTGGCAACAGAAAAAATCTTAATATCATATGCAATATTTATAAAAATCTAAACACAATGATGAAATACTAACATTATCGTTATCATTACCTTAGGAATTGGCGGTCTTTTCAGCATTTCTTTTTTGAGTACTTTATACGGAACATGTCACCACATTCATTTATTATATTCAACGCCTGGAACAAGAAAGTACAAGTGATATGTCCTAATGATATAAAATACAACACGACACACTCAGGTTTTTATAAGTTTTTTTTTGCAATTAAGTCCTCAAAAGAAAAATAACATAGGCGATGTTATAAATTCATGTTTTATTTTCCAAATGCAGGGCATAATAAATTTGAACTGAAAAACATATAATAAATTCAGGATTTAAAAAAAATATATATATATATATTTTACTCGCCATTTTAGTGAATACGCTGGGCAACTGCATGATACTTGTGAAGAAAATTTGTCATTTGAAAAAACTTACAATTTCGTATTCATTATATATTATGATTTTTTTTAAATTATGGTCACCATGGTGATATTGTAGACTTCATAATGACATTCAACAAATGTTAGGGGCCAGCTGAAGCCCGCCTCCGGGTGCAGGATTTTCTCGCTGCGTTGAAGACCCATTGGTGGCCTTATGCTGTTTTCTGCTCTTTGGTCGGGTTGTTGTCTCTTTGACACATTCTCAATTCTAATGTAAGGTCAAAAAGATTATCAAATTTGAAAACCTATCTAATTCAATGTATACAAATTTCTTCGCTATATTCACATAATAGACTAGGTATAGAGACTTATATGCATGTTCCTAAATTAAAACTACCAAAATATACAATATGCAAATATTCGTACCTTGTCTAGCATTTCTTTAGAATGGGCTGCCGATAAACAAAGTCTAGCACGTGATTCTATGATTGGTGTGGCGGGAAAACCAACAACTACAATACCTAGCCCTTTCTCTAGACACGTTCTGTTCATAGCTCTGGAAAATGATACAATTAACAAGTACAATACATATGACCCTTCTAACTCTGGAAAATAATACAATTACAAACTACAAAACCTGTGACCCTTCTCCAGTCGCAGTCTGTTTAAAGCACTTGAAAAAAAACCATTCAAACTTAGAAATAAGATTTTTATATATGTATAACGATAATTAAAACAAAACAAATTAATCTGGAATATAATCAAGAACGAAAAAAAAACAGAGAGATGTGGTATGATTGCGAATGAGACAAATACCGTCAAGAAACCAAATGACGTGGATGTAAGTATGATTTGCGCCTTTCCCAAGTCAGGAGCCTCTGGCTTTTGTTAGTCTTGTATCATTTTTTAATTTTAGTTTCCTGTGTATAATTTGGAGTTTAGTATGACGTCCATTATCACTGAACTAGTATCCATATTTGTTTAGGGGCCAGCTGAACGACGCCTTCGGGTGCGGGAGTTTCTCGCTGCATTGAAGACCCATTGGTGGCCTTCGGCTGTTGTCTGCTCTATGGTCGGGTTGTTGTCTCTTTGACACATTCCCCATTTCCATTCTCAATTTTATGAACTGACAACTTGAAATAAGATTTCCCCTTTTTATTTGTACTGTAAATATTCGTTCCCATAGCTATCTTATATAACCTTATCCGACTACAATACGGTTTAAAGGTTACATGTGACTGGCGAAGCACGCATGATACCAGGTGCTACCTCTCTCAACACACCTGGACTCATCCCATTTTCTTGTCCTACAAACACCGATATCATATGTTCCAATTGTTGTAGCAACAATTCCGTCCTCTTTTCTTCGATTGTGTCATATCCAAATGAGACTTACACCACCGATTTTGCATTTACCACGAGAAACACGACGGATACCACATGCGGAGCAGTGCTTACCCTTCCGGAGCACTTTAAATCAACCTGGTTTCTTGTGGGGCTCGTGTTGCTCAGTCTGTAGTGTTCTATGTGATGTTTTGTCTTTTCATTTTTATTGTAATATTCTCGGTTTTTCTTCGACTTCTATTTTTTTATTTTCCCCTTGGTATCTTCTGTCTTTATTTTTTACAGGTGGCTTATGTAATTAAGGTCTAGTTTTAGCAAGCAACAATATTCCTATATTACCATTCATGTCTGTACAAAATGAGCGTTTGCAATTCCATCATCCAAACTTGTAAATGTTTACCGTGACACATACATTGATCGTTACTTAATATCAAAACGAATATGCACATTGTTACACAGAGATAAAAACAAAATTAAGCATTAAAATCAGTTTTCGCTTATATGTACCAGCCTCTTAAAAATACATGTGTAAATAGTTTTTACTTACGCCACTTTAGATGGTAAAAATATCAGTAAAGGAACTACTGGTGAATCATCATTACCATAAATAATAAAACCGCTTTCTTTTAATTTCCTCCGAAAATACTGTGTATTCCATTTTAACTGGTTTATTCTTTTTTGTCCTGGAATTAAAATGTAACTTCATATATTTTGATTTTTAATTTTTAGTTTATAAGTTATGTTATTTTTCTAAATTAAGATGATTGGTTGACCTTGGATGACTTTGGGTTTTTCTGTTGATGATTTGGTATTGATGCTCATAAACATTTGTATCCATTAGTTAGGATCTGGAAACTTATATTTGGTGAAAGTTTTTTAAAAGAGACAGAAGACACTTAAAGAACAATAAAAATGTAATTCGAAGAAAACCCGGCAATACCACGAAAAACGACAATAATCCACATACCACTTCATAGAAAATTTAAAAAATGGAGCAACACGAACTCGAGCTAAATCCAGGGATGATCTCTGGTGCTCCGGAAGGGTAAGCAGACACATGCAACATGTGCACTGAATTTGTACCATATAAAAATTAGATGTGGTATGATTGCCAATGAGACAACTATCCACCAAAGTTCAAATGAAGTGGATGTAAGCAATTGTAGGCAACCGTATGGCCTTCAACAATGAAAAAAAAACATACCGTATAGTCGGCTATAAAAGGCCCCGACATGAAAAATATGAAACAATTCAACTGAGAAAACTAATGGCCAAATTTATAACAAAACAATTTATGAAAAACAAATATGACAGACATGAACAGACAGTATCGTGACGGTAATTTTTTTAATATTTTTTCCATAATTTCTTATTGTAACAAATTACATAATGAAAGTTGCATATTGGAAATTATCCAATGAAAACTTATAATATTATATCGCGGCGACATAGCCTTTTGGCACTGATGCGACGCAAAGCAATCATTAATCAATCAATCAATTAATCTAATATCACGTTCCTATGAATAGCAGGTCGAAATTACCTACAATTAATACTTTGTTGTTTGTTTTTGTTTGTCAAATTTTCCTTCCAACAAGCCTGTTTAAAAATACAGGATTAAACCAAAGTTACTTAGAGTCGCGCAAGTCAAAACAAAGACAGACAAACAAGGATATAAAAACAGAAGGAATAAGATAGAACAAGTCGAGCCTACACAGTTTGTTGGTATAACAAATATGAAATAAAAAGATACTATTTCAGTTATTACGGGAATTTTCATTTCTAACACGTTAACTCATGTCATTTATTTGGTGTGCTGTTCTAATCGTACCTTCTGTGGTTCCGTCTTTCCCCATTATTATTAACATTGATGAGATTATTTGTTGTGTTACTGCAGGTGGCATAGAACTGGAATACACTGCTGCATGCGAATTAAGTCTTAAGTGATGTATTAATTTCTAGAAAAAAAATATGAATATAAAATCACAGTACAAAGTCAATTGGGACAGACAGATGATATTCTTAAAGACCATTGACATCAGAAAAACAACAACTATAACTTCAGATGGAATACACAAGAGTACACACGCTGAAATGTCTCGCCTGCTTTACTGACCATTGATTTTATGTTGAAAGTCCTAAATATGAAAGATTTACACAAGTATCACATAAACTTAACATGATCCAAGAAAATGAGGTCATGGTCAGATAAACCAAATCGGAAATACATGTACACCTTACAATCAGTCCATACACCAAATATAGTTGACCTATTGCTTATACTAGTAGTTTCTTAGAAACGAACTTAACCATGAAAACTTAACATTTACCAATGAACCATGAAAATGAGGTCAAGGTCAAAGATGATACCTGCCAGACAGACATATACACCTTGAAATCATTCCATACACCAAATATAGTTGACCTATTGCTTATAGTTTAAGAAAAACAGACCAAAACATAAAAACTTTACACTGAGCAATGAACCGTGAAAGTGAGGTCAAGGTCAAATGAAACCGTACAGACTGACATGTACATAGTAAAATAATTCCATACACCAAATATAGTTGACCAACTAGTATTGCACATAATATTAGAAAAAAAGACCAAAACACAAAAACTTAACTTTAACCACTGAACCATGAAAATGAGGTCAAGGTCAGATGACACCTGTCAGTTGGACATGTACACCTTACAATCATTCCATACACCAAATATAGTAGACCTAAAAGGCTATTGCTTATAGTATCTAAGATATGGACTTGACCACGAAAACTTAACCTTGTTCACTGATCCATGAAATGAGGGCGAGGACAGATGAAAACTGTCTGACAGACACGAGGACCTTGCAAGGTACGCACATACTAAATATAGTTATCCTATTACTCATAAGAGAGAAATTAACATTACAAAAAATCTTAACTTTTTTTCAGGTAGTCACTGAACCATGAAAATGAGGTCAAGGACAATGGACATATAACAGACGGAAACTTCATAATATAAGGCATCTACATACAAAGTATGAAGCATCCAGGTCTTCCACCTTCTAAAATATAAAGCTTTTAAGTAGTTAGTTAACGCTGCCGCCGCCGGATCACTATCCCTATGTCGAGCTTTCTGCGACAGAAGTCACAGACTCGACAAAAATCACAACAAACAAGGGGCTGTCAGATTGACAGCAAACCGGATTTTCCTGCATGAAAATGATATTTGCAAACCTGGACCCCCAAACAGGATCAAGTAAAAAATAAATAAATGAATTTTTGTAGGGTTCAGAAATGGAAAGACCAAAATCAATCTTGACCTCCTATTTATCATAAGTGACATGATTTTAGAATTTAAGAGAGTATATAAGGACACACACATTTGTTCAGCAGGGATGGGTAGGCAAAAATCATGAAGTCAATAATGAAAGAAATATGTTTATGAGATTATAACCTTATTAAATATGAAACCATAGAATCTTGTGGTCACTCCAATAACTTTCCAGAAACCCACTTTCAAACGATTGTTGTCTTGTAATATATGCATGGTCGATGGAAGAATAATCGTGAAATTCGAATTTGACCTTCTTTTAGTCACATAAAACAACATATCTAGTTTTTAAAAGATTCCATCAAAGCGTTTTCAAGTTATTGCACGGACACTGTTTGGCAGCCGACCGCCCGCCTCACATCACCAAATTAATAACCGATATTTTCCTTTGGAAATCCGTTTAAAAATGTTAATTTGATGCACCATACGCGCGTTTAGTAGGTTAATATAGTCTAACGTTTAATTTTGTCAGGTTTTATGGACTTTTCCCTTTTTGAATTTACCTTGGAGTTCGGTATTTTTGTAAATATTTTTTTTAACATTTTTTTCTCATCATTCGGAATATATTGAAAATCCAAAAGTAGCAAACGCTATAGAGCGATAAATCTAATTTAAACCGAAAAAACTATAAACACTCGTGCACCACTAGGATAACGTTGTCAACAACAAAAAATTTCAAGTATGATCATCCAAAGACAAAAACCAAAAAAGCCGAATGTCATGAATCCTTATAAAAAGAGGTTTCAGAGTGTGAAAAAGGTAATTAAAAACAAGTCACTGACAATTTACAGAAAACTATCGTGCTCTACAAGTGGCACTCGTCGTGTTTCTGGTCCCAAATGAAAAGGAAACATCTCAAAGACTTTTTAATTTTAGAAGAAATATAATCTTACTTGTATTTGTTTATTTATATGTTTTAGTTTTGCGTTTTCTAGATAAAAAATTGTCCTCTAAAATCCCTTATAGTTTTAGGGGACAAAAATCAGTCCCTATTACCGCCTTAGTTACATGTATTTTATATATCTATATTCATTACCTTATTGCCTGCTATATATCCCCCAGCAGCACCAAAACTTTTGGTAAATGTTCCCATCATCACATCTACGTCCTTTGGATCGAGTCCAAAATAATCTACAACACCTCTACCAGTGTTACCTATAGCACCAATACTATGAGCTTCATCTAAGTATACATAGGCTTTGTATTTCTTCTTTAATTGGAGGACTTCTGGTAGACGTATGACTGAGCCTTCCATACTGTATAATAATACACAAGAGTGAAAATATAAATAGTATGAAGGTAATTCTGAAATCAGTTCAGATGTCATAACTCCTTCACACACGAGGAATAAAAAGAGAAAAAACTGAGCTGTTCGCAACAGGTTACATATCTTTATGAATCATAATAAATGCATGCATTCGCTGATATTCAACAAGTGTCAAATCAAGTGTCACATGACTAAAGCAATGTTCCAAAATCTGGATCCGCCTCAGATAATCATAAAAGATAATCTGGAGACCCACACGTAGCCTCTGGCTGTTGGTAATCGTCTTTGAATAAATAAAAAAATAATTTAAAAGATAACCTCTTTAATATTAGAACAGACTTTAAGATTGTGTGGTGTGCAAACTTTTCAAAATCAAATGATATTAACTGCATACATTTAGTCTTTTACAAGAAGCAAGTAATGTATGCAAACGAAAAAAATCAACAATATGTTTGAAGAAGTCAAGGAATATAAGAAACAGTTTATATCCTTACCTGTAAACACCTTCAATGAGGATGATAATTTTTTTCCAGGGTCGACTAATCTTCGGTCGTCCTTCAATAACAGCTGATTTTAACTTATTCTCCAAGTCTAACATATCTGAAGTAGTATGATATTTAACAGCCAATAGTTTAAGCAATGTATATAATGCACAATAATGTTACCAAGACCAAATCATAAATTTTGTAAAACTTTTATTCATCCTGAAGTTATTGTATGTGTACCACGAAACCGCTTAAGTTATTGTCTGTGTACCACGAAACTGATCAAAGTATTGTATTGTACCACGAAATTGTTCAAGTTATTGTCTGTATACCACGAAACCGCTCAAATCATTGTCTGTGTACCACGAAACTGATCAAAGTATTGTCTTTGTACCACGAAACTGATCAAAGTATTGTTTGTGTACCACGAAACTGATCAAGTTATTGTCTGTGTACCACGAAACTGATCAAAGTATTGTCTTTGTACCACTAAACTGATCAAAGTATTGTTTGTGTGCCACGAGACTGATCAAGTTATTGTCTGTGTACAACGAAACTGATCAAAGTATTGTCTGTGTACCACGAAACTGATCAAGTTATTGTCTATGTACATATGTGCCCCGACACCAATCAAGTTATTGTCTGGGTACCACGAAACTGATCAAGTTATTGTCTGTGTACAACGACACTGATCATGTTATTCCCTGTGTACCACAAAACTGATCAGGTGATTGCCTGTGTACCCCGAAACCGATCAAGTTATTGTCTGGGTACCACGAAACTGGTCATTTATTGTCTGGGTACCAGGAAATTGATCAAGTTATTGTCTGTGTACCACGAAACTGATTAAGTTCTTGTCAGTGGAACCTGATTAAGTTACTGTCAGTGTATCACAAAACTGATCAAGTTGTTGACTGTTTACCGCTTAACTGATTAAGTTGTTGACTGTGAACCACCAAACTGATCAAGTTATTGTCTGTGTACCACCAAACCACTATAGTTATTGTCTGTGAAACTGATAAATTATTGTCCGTGTACCACGAAACTGTTTAAGTCTGGATATCCTATATTCCTACACCCTACTGTTCCGATGCCCATAAGTGATGCTCATAATCCCGACACATCCCATTTGTCCCACAGCTCATTAGTACTACACCCCAATTGTTAGTCCGACATATGTAATTCAAATTTATTTCATACATAGAATCGATGTTCATGTGGTAGCTGTATTTGAACTACCCGATAATTCTGTCACCCGAAGTTTTGACTTTGGAAAAGAAATATAATACTCGTTCCTGCACTTCTCGCGTCCGACGGTAAAACTCTTGTTAAAATGCGGCGTTCGTTTGGATATTCGGGATGTATAAATTCGCAGCCACTTCCGGTCAGAATGGGAACGTTAAATCTGATGCCTCGTGTTGGGCAAAATTTGTTTTGTCCTGGAAATGCGTTAAATATTTGCTACCGATAGTCTCCAATACGGGTCAAACTGCAAACATCGTGTTACCAAAAAAGAGATTGGTGTTACCCAAGCATAGTTACGCCGTTAGTTTCCTGACAACCCACAATGTCATTTTGGACATTACTATTGAAATAAATTAAAAGCTGAATTACTGGAAAGCTTTAGTACAAAATAAAGCGAAAACAAGACTTTATGTATACCAATTCAATGTTTATGAAACAAAAATATGCATTCGTGAAAGTTGGGAAACATCAACTCCTGCCAAACTACAGGCAGATTACCATGTGTCTATGCTATCACAGAAGCTCAAACACTCCGACCTGTATTAACAGAAATTTCGAATCAATTCTCGACAAAACTGTGAACTTTTTATCGGTAACAGCGGTTTGCCGTAGTCCATTTACATGCAATAAATGATTTAAAACTGTACTAAAAAGGTAAAAATTACTTCAAATTAAATCCCGGAAATTGTTTCATATGCACTTTTAAAACTTTCCTGTTAATTGAATTGAAATTTCCTTCTTCTACGTCTTAAAATGTCTAGTAACAGTTATTATCCGTTTGTTTGTTCAGTTAATATGATAATTGATTTCCTGTTTTTGCATATGACTTTGCTCTTCCGCGTATACAGAAATTAACCTTGGAGTGAAGTTCATTTTTAGTTACTAACTCTTACTACAAGTATTTCTCTCCGAATAATTATACCAGGTCTTTGCTAAGATAGTTATTTAGTTGAATAATTATTTATTTCAAAAAGTTTTTTAAATACTATAAAGGAAACTTTGAGGTGTATGACACTGAGTTGTTTTCCATTCGTTCCGTTGGTTGATAGAGGTTATAGCGTTTGATTATGTCAGTTTTTGTGGAATTTACTTTGAAGTTCGGTACTTTCATGGTCAAGCGTCTGTTTAAAACTATATATCATGCGAATCTCTCAATAGGATAAATATATTTGGTTTGTGCGATCCTTACAAGGTTTACATGTCTTTAAAACAGGGTTCACCTGACCTTGACCTAATTTCATGGATCAGTCGGATCAAAGTTAAGTCTTTATCTCAGATACTATCTTAGCAGTAATCAACTATATTTGGTTTGTGGTCGTCCTGTCACTAGAGTGCTTTTAAGGCGAACATAATCGTCTTGTACGGTTCATCCTACATTTACCTCATTTTCATAGTTCATGTGTAAGTAAATAGATTCCGGAAATCAAGCTGGTTATGCTCTATTTTATATTTGAATATAAAACATATAACAGCGCTGTGGTGAAGTTAATTGAAAAAGAAATGTTCTATCCACTTTGAATTGTCTTCTCTTCATATTCTTTATATTCTCCTCGCTTGTGTTGTCATTCCATCGTTTTGGACTGCACTTGTTATACCTATTTAGTTTTTATGTTTGTTAAGAATTGACGCCGAGCATACGAGATGAAAGTTAGTACAGAGGGTTGAATTTTTCACATAAAACTATTACATGTTTATTATTTATTACTTACTATTATGCTTAAAAGTTCTAATTGAAGCCCCTGATAACCTTGCTCCTAAAATTAACGAGCTGTGATTTAGTTCGTCACTTAAAATAAGACAACCCTGAAATGTTAAAATATACAGTTGTTTAAACAAACTTCGGATCATTTAATTTCTAAACTCTAACTGAAATGAACAAAAGGCATTGTGGGGTATACGTCTATAAGACAGCAACACAAATAATAAAAATGCATTTAGAGGTCGACAAAGTCTACAACAATAGAAAGGTGGCTTTATAAGGTGTCAAATTTTAAATTGTCCCTAATCTACAAAATCACGTGTGAATAAATCAATCAAAAACTATGACCACCAATTTCTCTAAAAATATTTGGGATCCTTTAGAACTTCAGATGACTTTGACATCATTATTTGGACAGAATTCCCTTGAATTAGTAGTGACAAGGCATTTACAAATAAGTTAAATCCAATACTACTGTATTACACCTATACCCTTTGATAACAGAACCAAAACTGCCTTCATTCCAGAGAAGGTTATATCTCCGTTCTGATCTGCCTTCTTCAATATCCCTATCATATAGGCCTCTTGTAATGAATAATATGTTTTCTAAATTGTGAGACACTGCAGTTTCCTAGCCATGTTTTGAGTTCTTGAGGAAAGAATCAGGTTTGATGCAGATCTCATGTCTACATTTAACAACTAAAATGTCCTCAATTCTTTTCTGTTCGGTAACTCCTTTGACCCGTTCCAGAACCCATTTGTTGGAAAGACAACTTATGTTGTTATTTTAGTTATTTTTATCATTTGCAAAGATATTATTGACCAAGCCTTACAATTACTTTCGTCCTGAACATGCATGAAATATTTGCCACTGGTCGTTCAACAATCAATCAATTAAAATTTCTTTTCACAGACGATACTCAATTTAGTTTAAACTTCTCAGTGATATTTGACAAAAATTTAAATGAAAATTGATCGATAATAAATCTTATTTTGATTTGATTTGTAGAAATATGGTCCATAGTTATGTTCAGGATTACATGTATTTCAATATTTAAATATGCTTACTTTTCCTACTAAACACGGAATGTTCATTGAATTGGTAGCAAACCCCATTGGTATGGTTATGGCTGCCTCCACACCTAAGAACTCCGCTACTAATGTATCTAACTTCTTATGAATATCCAGGTATCCTAAAATATACAAAACAAAAGATGCGCTTATTCATCGATGACCATTTCCTAAAAGGGTGTCACGAGCGATAAAACAAACTTTGGAGTACACGCGGTCGATTGAGGGTTTCTGGTCTGTCGCATTCTAAACGCAAATTGAGCTTGAAAAAAAATATGTTTTCTTTTGATTTATAAATGTATGTAAAAAGTCAGGAATGCGACTGTTTCTCTTAGTCGCCTGTTAAAATAACTATCCAATGATCGAATGATATTACAATTACCATATATGGATACTATGTAATTGGGATCTTTACAGGGGATATAGGATCATATTCCATGTCAGTATTTTATATCTGAGAGATATAGGGCACTGACAGGGAATATGAGCTCATATGAGTGTCCTGATTTCAACATTATATACCATTCTGGTCCTCGTTTTTGTTCACAGGGTATATTTCAGATATTTCAAATATTTCACTCCAGTATAATATAAGGAGATACATAGCATGCGTCAATAAACTCAACGGTCATATCAACGTTGTAACCTTATATATAATACAGATGTATGTTGGTCATGGCAGCCATCTTGCTTTTAAATACATCTTAAGCTAAATCACTACAAAATAAGGTTATATTCTTGTTATTTCTTAATGTCAATGTTGACACTGAAAAGTGAAAATATATTAATACAAAATATATGTAAAATCAAGAGATATTCGTTTTCAAATGAAATCTAAATGGTTGACAGGGGTGTAGAAATATGGGCATCCCTGGACTTCTGCTGACGGCGGTAAAATCCTTGATAAAGTGTGGTGTCCGTTTGTTGTGCGGGATAAACAAAAACGCAGCCACGTTCGGTAAGAATGGGGACATTAAATCCGATGCCTCGTGTAGGGAGAGCGCCGCGCTCTTTGTACGTTATCTCTTTCAACAACTCTCCTAGGGGTTCGTAGGTGGCATGTTGCTAGGCATAATATATGCCCTTATCCAACATACCATTATTTCCAGTAGCAGTCCAAATGTCCCATCTTTCATCCCGGTCAGGCTTACTTGCAAAACCAACGTACTATATTAATTGTTAACTTGTTCTCGTCCTTAATATCCATGAAATAATTGCCACTGGACGTTAAACTGGTAACAATCAATCAAGTGAAATGTTTGAATGGTCATATTTCAACAACAAACGTCTGGACAAAGTTTTTGTAACTGTATATTACTTCCTTAACAACTAACTTTCAATGAATAACGACTAATTTGAAACCTTGTTATTTTTTTAATAAGATCAACCTTATTATGATTGATTGATTGATTGTTGTTTAACGCCACTTTCAGCACTATTGGCTATGTTGTGGCGGTCAGTTTTTATTGGAGGAAGCCGGAGTGCCCGGAGAGAACCACCGAGCGCACCTGTCACGTGCGGGATGGGGATTCGAACTCAGAACCTCAGTGTTGACAGGCTAGTGATGCAGTAGTTGAACTACTTAATCCACTCATGTGAGTAGCCATCAGATTTCCAGGCTTATTTGGGTACCTAGTCTTAATTTGGACTTTTTGCATATTTATTCTGTACGTACTGAAACAAAACACTCAATCAAGCGTATATGACTTATTTATTGAAATAACAATGAAATGAGTGTTTTTGAATATTGGCTAAAGACTGAGACTCAGTATTCGAGGTGGACTGGCTATTTGATTCACGAACGTAATTTTATAATTCATAAAGTACAAAGTGAATGTATTTGTTTGGTGCTTAGTAATCTCCAACAACATATTTGAACACAAATTTTAAACAGTTCCTTGGTCCTTTTAATTGAATGCAATTTAAACTTGTTGTAATGAAGTTAGTATACAATTTGCCTCAATGAAAGCATATAGTATTTTTTTTTTTAATTTGTCTTTTAACTCATGTTTCTACCATACATAGCATGTGAGGCGTAACAGTTAATATTTAGTTTACAAAGGGACATCTCTTATATATGTATTTGATAATGTACACTCGTTCTTAAGTTATAATGAAGTTTTAATGATTCTATTATATACATTACGATAACGTTGTCAGGTCATTAAAGATGGCATATTTTGGAATTAATATTGATTCACTCATAGGGTCTTGAAAAATCAAAATCAAATCAAAGGGAAAGGCGATATGGAATGAACAAATAGAAAAGGCATCAAAGCAATCAAAAAATGCATATAAAGTATGGAGGCAACATGGAGCACCTCAAGAAAGAAGTAACGAGCTCAAAATCAAAATGACAGCGGCAAAAAGAATACTTCGAAAAGCACAAAGACAAGCTTATGCCTCTCAGAGAGAATCAACAGCGGGAAAAATTATGAAAGCTTCAAATGCAGACACACAACTTTTTTACAAGCTTATTAACATGCAAAGAAAAACACCACTTACTAACACCAAGATACTGAAACTGAATGAAAAGACTGCAGAAGATGGACCAAGCATAATGAACATTTGGCAAGAACATTTCTACAACTAGCTACGCCAACATTAGAAGAAAATTTTGACACTGAAAAGCTAGAGCTTGTAGAAATACAAAACAATATAATAGAATCCATAGAAAGGGAAAAAGGTCAAGGCATTGATCATGTCAATGTAAAGGAGGTTGATAAAGCTATAGAAAAACTTAAAGCAGGAAAAGCACCAGATGAGGATGGAATTTCGGCAGAACACTACAAATATGGGATGGATGAGTTAACTCCCTTTATAGTACATTTGCTAAATTTAATTTTAACATATCTGGATGTACCAATCTTCCTAAAGACAGGGATTCTTACACCAATCCTAAAGAAAGAAAAAGACAAAACATTACCATCTAGCTATTGAGGAATAACTGTGACTAAAACCTTTGCAAAAATATTACAAAGTATACTGAAGGATAGAGTTGACTCTGTATTTAATAACATACAAAACTCATTGCAAAGAGGCTTTACAGAAGGAGTATCATCACTATGCGCAGCTTTCCTCACATCAGAAGCAATCGAAGAAAGTAGGAAATTAAAGATACTGATGATTTTAATAACTCTTGATGCAGAAAAAGCATTTGACAAACTAAACCATGAAATACTATTCAACAAGTTGTACCATTATGGAATAAAAGGAAAACTCTGGATACTACTGAGAAACATGTATAAAGGCATGAGCATTAAGGTCAAATGGGAAGGTCAATGTACAGAAGATGTAATGGTGTTACAAGGAGTTCAACAAGGTGCAAAACTATCTACAACGCTATATAAATGCTACAACAACGTCATACTGGATAGCATTTTAAAAAGTGGACTTGGAGCATGTATTGGTAATATACAAGTCCCTGCACCCACATGTGCCGATGACATTGCTGTCCTGGCAAATAGTACTGCAGACGCACAAGGAATATTAGACATAGTACAGCACCATACAAGCAGAGATCTAGTTAAAATCAATCCAACTAAATCTGAAGCGGTTTTATATAATGCAAAAGGCTCAAACATAACAACACTGCAATTCGAAGACGATGACATCAATATAACCAATGAAACCAAACATCTAGGTATCAAAAGAAACGAGCAAAACCGGGCAAATATCTATGAAAGAATAAGAACCGGTAGGGCAACAATATACAGCCTTCTCGGAGCCGGTTTACATGTCAGAAGGGGATTCTCACTCATGGTCGCATACAAGCTATGGAGAACATATGCAGTACCAAGAAGCATCTACGGACTTGAGGTGATGAACTTACTTGCAAAAGAAAAGGATATGCTAGAACTGGCAGAGAGAAAAATCCTCCGACAAATTCAAGGGCTTCCAAATAATACAGCAAATATGGCTGTCTATACCCTGGTAGGAGCAGAACCTATTGCCATCACATTAGACAAAAATCTACTTACCTTCTTCATGAATATTGTTCGAAATTCAGGAACCACAGAATGTGAAATTCTGCGTCGACAAATAGCATTCTCAGACCAAAGAGGAAAAGACTTTATCAACAGAGTGGAAAAAACTCTATCAAAATACAATTTGAAATCTAGTAGTTACTACATAGAAAAACCACTTAAGAAAATCGAATGGAAAAGACTAGTAGGAATAAAGATCAAGGAATACTGGAAAAATGAATGTCACTATGAAAAAATGGAAAAAACATCACTTAAATACATAGAGATACAGAACAATCCATTAAATGAAGCACACAATATATGGAAAAGCGTAAAAAACAATAGTAAAGATGTAAAGGCAGGAGAAATAAAAGCAAGAATAAGTACTCAAACGTACATATTACAAGCCAAAAGAGCTAAGTTAGATCCGAAAGTTAACCCGATATGTACAATCTGTGAACAGGAAAATGAAGATCTGGAACATTTTATTCTACGCTGCAAAGAATTGGAGCAAGTAAGATCTAAATATTGCTCAAAAATAGAACAGACAATGGATGAAATCGATACTTCAACATACAAGAAGATCATACAAGAAGGGAATTTACTGCAGCTCATAATGGACTGTACTAGCAAGGACATAAACTGTTACTCAACTGTGTATGAAAACATTGAAACTCTGGCTAGAAATATGTGCTACGAGATGCACATGCTGCGCACAAAAAGGATTAAAAACTTGAACACAAGTACAGTATAAGTAAACTTTTTTTAAATAAAATAGTTCCCTACTTTACCATCTTACTATTTTATGACGTATTAGGACCTAAATTAAATAAAAAAATTTGCAAAGTTTTAAGATATCCAGTTACCTTTAATGAGTAATGATAAGATCCGAAATAAGGTAACTTTAAACTGTGAAGGTAAACTTATGTATATATGATGAATTGTTCTAAACCCCAACCCTTTTACATAAGTCCTATAAAATAACCTTCTCATTATAAATTCTGATGTACGTATAGCACCTTTAACTAACAATTATAAGAAAGTTTAATTTAAGACCACTTAAATTCTAAATTCTTATTTGTAAATATATCCAGTTCTTACTTAACTTATTCTTACACTTCAGCACATTATGAATATTATTTTTAAAATTTTATGATGACAATCCTATGAATTAGTTATAATATTAATTTTTAGTAATTATTATTGCCTAAATTCAGTCATCTGTACATAATTAAATGCTTCCTTATGTTCTAAGGTGTATATAGTTGCTACAATTATACCCTATGGGTAGTGCTCCACAATTAATGGAGGAATATACAAGAAACTAACTAACTAACTTTGCATGGGAAATAAACACATTTGTTCTAAAACCAGTTGTTGGCATGATACGGGTTATGTTCTTCTCATATATTTTATGACGGTATGATACTAAACTCCTAACTGGAGGGATAGTGCTTGATTTTTATATGATGAAGACATAATCTTTCAATCAGTTTAATTGAGGTCTGGAGTTGGCATGTCAGTAACTGCTAGTAGACTTTTGTAAATTTATGTATAATTGTCATTTTGCTTAGTTTCTTCTGTTACCTATTCTGACATCGGACTCAGACTTCTGTTAAACTGAGTTTTCTGTGCGTATTGCTGTGTGTTTTTTTATTCTACATTGGCTAGAGGTATAGGGGAAGGGTTGAGATCTCACAAAACAAGTTTAACCCCGCCGCATTTTCTGCTCTTTGGTCAGGTTGTTGTCTCTTTGACCCATTTCCATTCTCAATTTTATGTATATAAAAAATCAATGATTTTGAATTTTGCTTATCATTTTATACAAATAATTTTTACTTCAGAACTTATGTACTTGCCAGCATTATTTTGAAATGATGAAATAAATGATTCTATTAATGAATATCTATAGAGCAGATAATTTTGAATTTTGTTTATCAATTTATGCAGGTTCAATTAATTTTCACTTTAAACAAAAACGGAAAACTTCTTTAGAATTTATAAAGTTGCCAGGAAAAAACCCAAAGTAAAATTTAATACCTTCTTCACAAATACTTCGAAACGACAATTAAACATAATTCAAATGAATCTAGAGGAAATTGGAGGAATTATCAAAAAACAGTTATAAATTTGTAAATGATTAATTCACTTTCAATTTATGATATATTATTTTTACCAGGCTTCAACTTATGAAGTAAATTTTATATTAAATCTACCATGCAAACATATATTCCTAGGATAAATGTATAATACTGTAATAATCTTTTCAATTTACTTATATATTGTATATTATGGGGATTTGAACTCCTAATATTTCATCACATATCTTCACTTCGATCGTTTTATATCAACTGACTGTCTTTTCTCATCTCTTAGCGTCCGTCTTCGTCTTCCTTCGTCATCGTCCGTCGTCCGTCGTCCATAAACTTTTACAAAAATTTCTCTTCTGAAACCACTGAGCCAAATTTAAGCAAACTTTGCCATAATCACCATTGGGGTATCTAATTTACAAAATGTGTCCATTGCCCCCACAACCAGCAAAAAACGAGCAAAAATGTTCAAAATTTATCTACCTACTGTCCATTTCCATCAAAATTGTCAGACGACTTCTATAGGAGTTCTTGCCCTTAAATAACTAATTTTAACATTTATTTTTCATTTTTGCCCATTTTCTTGAAAATTATAATAGATTAATAGATAGAGAGCAACATTAAAGGACAATTAATCAGCAACACAAGTTCTACAAATAGGTCAAATAATCAGCAACACAAGATCTATAAATAGGTCAAATAGGTCAAATAGCCTAAATCGTCAGTCGACTCCTTATTGCAGTCATTGCCCTTTAATATAAAAATAAGCAGATGTGGTATGATTGCCAATGAGACAGCCATCGACAATTTCAAATAAAGTGGATGTGAGCAATTATAGGCAACCGTACGGCCTTCAACAATGAGAAAACCCATACCGTATAGTCGACTATAAAAGGCCCCCAACATGAAAAATATGAAAAAATTTAATTGAAAAAACTGACGGCATGATTTATAACAAAACAATTTACGAAAAACAAATATGACAGACATGAACCAACGACAACCACTGAACTACAGGCTCCTGACTTGGGACAGTCACATAAAGAATGTGGCGTGGTTAAATGACGACTTCATGTTGATGTTTATGATTAGTTCTCGGACTTTAGCTAAAAGCTTAAGCTTACATAAATTTCATATTTGATGCTAAAAAGCATGCATCCAGAACTTATATAAAAATAAACGTTTACGTCCCCATACATTTGACGTCACGTTCATAGTCTCTAACATTACGCTCTACCTCCATAAGCCTGGAAATGTCAAGGCGGGTCACATATATCTAAAGACGAAACAGCTTTTTTTAATTCACTGGTTCGCCTATTTTCTTTTATAAGTACCCATAGTACCCCTTAGATTCACAGCAATCGTTTTTAAATCAAACAAACCTAGTTCCTGTCGGCTTCCACAGGAAGCAATACCATACGCGTGTGTTGTTTTTGCAGCAGCTTCAGCACACGGTCCTTTACAATCAGAGAATCCCAAGTAGTTGTAAGATCCTAAATTTATCACGGTGTGCTTTTTACCTGTTAATCTAAGAAACAGATACAATAATAAATTGTTGAATTAAAGACAACAGAGAACTTATCGTAAAGGTTGTTTTTTTAGGGTTCGTATTTTGTTTGTAAAGTTGTTAAGTGAGGGTGGTAAAGGGTTATTTTCGTGCAACGTGTTTTGCCATTTTTATTTCACGTGCAGCCGTAAAAAAGTTACGTTATTCACCGTGTTTCGTGAAATGGGTAAAAAAATCAACGTGCAAGAAATTTTTAATTGTTCGTTCATCGTGAAATAGCAATTTTATTTCGCGTTCTTCCGTGCAGATACCCCCCTTTACGCCCCTCTTAAGTGTTTGTTTTTCTTTCAATTCTTTTCTATAAGAAAGCATATAACCGACTACAGAAATAGCATATGTTTCATACAATCATAATGTGTTCTTTGCATACGGGCATATATTATATAAAATTCATTACAGATGCACCATAATATCATTGCAATGAATTCTCGATCCACGAGGGTATCATTAAATTGAATGCTTCTTTCGGAAGTTTTATTCTGATGTAATAGCGTTGGTCGGAGCGCTTCGTACTTAACATCGAGTGCAACCAAAAACTTTACAATTGGTGCTTGCTGCGTCTCCGCTAAGCACGCGGTATTAAGGAGTAAGAACAAAGACTGGTCGACCGGCTCGGGGTCAGAATAATGTGTCCGGGTAAGGTGACATGTCATCCTGTGGACTATTACCTTGTGAACTAGCACGTTAAAAATCCGGCTCTAGTCGGTCTAGTACAAAGCAGGGTCAATTTTCATATTACATTAACATAATCTCGTCCTGAATATGCATATTAATTTGCCGCTGAACGTTAAGCAGCCATCCATCATCATCATCATCTTCGTACTTAAGATTTGCGCAAGGTAAACGCTTTTGCATTCCTATAAAACTAGAAGCAGAAATGCAATGCTTATAATTACATCTTTATGTTAAAACTATATGAAATTACGAGGGTCATATTAAAACATCACCTGATTGTTGTCTACCAATCAAAATAATGAAATTCTTATGAAACATTTATGAAATGGAATTATTTTGTTTGTTTTTTAATGCTTGTTATTATAAACGTTGAAACATTTACTTTATCAAAAGAGACTCGTTGTTATACAATGCAATAAGATTCAGAATAACAAAACAGAACATACTCGCAGCCCCACCAATGATCTTTTGATGTCCTTTCTAGGACGTCCATTGTAGCCCCTGGTACACTACATATTGGTCTGTTCCAGCAGTCACGCACCCGCCGGTATAAATTTCGTGTGTAGAAACTTTCCCAGCTTTGAAATAAGGGTACAAATCCCTGTAATAAATATGCATATGCTACATCTAGTGCGCATGTAGTGTGATTATTTCATAATCGATTCAATTCATTATTAAAAATGATGTCCAAAACGCATGAAATATTTGCTATTGGATAAGTCTTGGAAATGGAAATGCAGAATAAGGAAATTTTTTTAAGTATTATATTTTTTGTGAAAATTTCAATATTTATAAACTGTAAGTGTATATATTTATATTTTAATAATGTTGTTCGTTGACCTTCTATTTTATCATGAATTTTATATTGCAGCGGTACATGTGCCGGTAAAAAAAATCAAGGAACCTCCTCGGTGGTTGTTTTAAGGTCATGCAATCTAAATGTTTTGGTCTTTTACAATTTTGAACATTTTATGTTGATGGCAGATTTTTGAAAGTCTCTGTTGAAACGAGGCCGCTGAATATACCAAGAGCGGCGACCAAAAACCATATGTCGAAGATTATATTACCCAACCGTTTCAGGTAAAGAGGACATAAATGATTGTTCATAAGTTTTTATTACAATATTAATTTCATCAAACTTTGATGCAGTTTATAAAATTGTATAGTTGTGTCTTAGATTTATTGATGTGTTAGTGGAAATCTAGTCGTGTCTTTATTAAATCCTGCTACTAGTATGTTGTATTTCAAAATCCAGGTACGTTTGTTGATTTTAATAGAAAAACAAAGGATATGGGGTATCCATTTCATACACCTTTACGATACCTTATGATGAGTACAATATGCAAGAATTCTCACTGCATACAAAAATGCACAGGTAAAACAGAATATTGGTCTAATTCGTATATATAGTACTAACTGGAAGTTTGGGTTCTGTACAAGTCTTTTCTTTTTCTAATCCAATACTTCGTAAAAAGTCTCTTATGTGTCCAATAACTACCATTATTCCATAAGACAGATAAGTCAAAATCGCTGCCACGATTGGTGTCTCTTCAAACGTTTCATCAAAGGCTATCTCATGATGTGACGATACCTGTAATTTTATTAATCAATTTTACTAAAACAATAATGGTTAAGCTAGTCAAAAGGACAATCTAATTAAAATTCGTTATGCTCATATGCATATGACTTCGACGAGTACGCGATTTCCGATAGATATAACTTTTAATCAAATTGGTCAAAAGTAGTATTTGTGTCTGACACTTTTGACACAGTCACGATTTCTCAGTAACCCAACATCTATGTTTTGTTCTGCTAAAAAGTAACTACTCTTATTTATTTAAAGTCCATCATTTATACGTGAGGGTCTGGATGGGGTCCAGTCTAATTAAAATTCATATCTATATTAACTCGCTTGCTCGTACAGAGTATAACGAAATCAGAGAACTATATTTTGATTAGATTGGATGGGGTCCTTCATTTCTGTAAATTCTAAATTTATTAGGTCATTATTTTTTCTCTATTCTTTATTTTTTGGGTCTATTTTTGCCTATTCTTTATTTATTTGGCCATTTTTTGGCAGAATTGACCTATTATTCTCTATTCTGCAAACCCCATCCAGACCCTCATACGTATGTGTGATAAGTTTAATACGTAAATAAAGTATACAATTTAGTCATGTTCATTGTTTATTGTTGTTTTTATGGGTTGTTTTCGTTAAGTTTTGTGTTTGATTGTTTGTTTGTTTGTTTTGTTTTGTTTTAGTTTGTTTTGGTTTGTTTTGTTTATTGTTTGTTTGTTTGTTTTGTTTTGTTTTTGTTTTTGTTTTTTTTTGGGGGGGGGGGGAGGGGGCGTCTGCGGGAAGGTAGATGCAGTGGGAAATATAACAGCTTTTGATATGTATGTTAAATACTATTATTAGCTGATGATCTCTTTTTTCAGTCGTCGTCAATTCCGTTCGGCTTGAATTAAGGACACCACTTGGCGATTGACAACGAAGGACTGTACACACAGGCACTTTTTTTCTGACACAAGTGCCTGTGACAGTACTGACACAAATCTTTACGGGACAAACTAACATTAATTACAATATAAACAAGGAAAACACTATCGACAGTAGCCTAGACCGTCTATGGTCAACTTTAGATTTGACGTCTTTTACTTATTTGTGTCGTTCGGTTGCTGTCTCAATGACGTATATATCTATTTATGGTCATATTTATGTGGCAAACTTGGCTCCACATCAGTAGATTCAATGCAACATAATCGGGATGAAAATGAAATTTTAACTTTATTAAATACGACATCCAACTCCTAGAAGACCGTTCACGTGGTTAAAAATAAATGTTGTTGAGGATTAAGTTTCAACCATATTTAAGGTTTGGCGTACTATTCTTTGTTTATGTAATATCAAATTACAACACTGGTTATAGATGGGTTTTTTTTATTCTGTTTGATTGTACATGATACAATTCGTAATTTATTTTTTGACAAGGAGAATAGAAAATGCGATTTGGAGTCGGAAAGTCAAGGAAGAAAGGAAAAATTTCATGACACTTTCGATTAACATCTGTTTTCATCGACAAACACATTTTTATGATTTTTTTATGCTATGTATATGTAGCAAGTGTATTTTAATTTCCTATTTTGCCTTATAACTTTCAAATTTGTTCGTTCTCTCTTTTAACTTGTATACAAAAATGCAAACAAATATTGAACCAACTATACACTATATAACAAAGGCCCGACTATGGGGTTGAGTGGTTGTATTATTATACTTTCCATTGGATTTAATTTGAAATATATGCTACTTTTGTCTACTTTTGTAAAACCCGACACACACACATTTTCTCTGTAAGAATATATGTAAAACTCCCTTATCATGAATGCAAATTATTGTATTGGAAAAGCCTTTTTGTGGAGAAGGGGGGGGGGGGGGGTATTCAAATATGGAAATAGTTACATCCTTCTGTCGATCATCGGTCCTTAAAAGAGAAGAAAATTGAATTGGAAATTATAAAAAAAAATATATATTCACAGTGGCGGATTCGGGGGGGGATAGAGGGCGTAACCCTTTTTTTTATTAGAAAAAATATCATTTCTAAGCATGAAATCAACCAAAATTGTTTTGATATATATACCGTTTTCGCTATGCCCCCACCCCCACTTTTCAAAAATACTGGATCCACCCCTGTTCAATCCATTGGGTACATCAGCACTTTCCTTCCTATACATTGTACGTCTGGTAAAACAAAGTCTTATACTAGTATCAACTAACCTTGATGCTTCCATCACAGGTATGTCCATTTTCCTGTGGGTACTTTCCATTATATCTAGAGATTGTTTCTCCTTCTTCATGGTGAACACAACGTTTAAACAAAGATCCGCTTTCATTTTCCTGTTTCATTTCTCGTTGTTAGCGTGTTATGTAAACTTCTGTATAACCGTCCTATATATGCACACGTAAAGCACTTCATATAAAGTGAACTTAGGCATAAAGAATTTCAAAAATACCTTTTAGATAAGTTGTTTTGTCTTCCATCTGGGCGTTCACTCAAACATAACAATTTCTAGTATCATTTGACTTAGATATCTTTTTTCCGTAAACTAATCTTACACGTACTGAATAGTTATCAAATTATACGCACTATTAAATTTTGTGATATTACGATCACAAAATCATGGTTGTTACGTGTCGTAAACTATAATGATAATTTTATAATGTTAGAAATAAAGGTATTATTTTTAATTCGTTGAAAATCTTTTAAGTTCGAATACCTATTAGAGGTTAACATTAGGGTCGTTCAAACGTCAAAGTTGAAACAATCGATCTCAGGTGGTTGAGAAGGTAAACACTAAATAACAATACCTGATAATCATATGAGGAATGGATTCATCCGTATAGACATTTGCATGAATACTTAAATACATTAACAATATAAAGTTATGACATGAAATACAAACAATAAAAAAGAAAATTGGATTATCATATGGGAATGACTATAATTGTACAAAATTAGCTCATGTACGTCTGAATCTATCTCTCTATATATATAATCCATAACAGATTTTCAATCATAATAAAAGACAATCATTTCTAAACTTTGAACTGATGCTATAAATCACAGGCACTTTGGGCATGTACCCCCCTCCCCCTCTTTTTTCGTTTTTATTTTTAAATTTTGTTAGTAAAAATTCTTTGATGCTTCAACTTATTTAATGTGCTCTTGCTCATCTTACAATAACAGTAGTTTATATATGCTGTATTCCTATTTTGTCAGGTGCGCTTGACTCCAATCTTAATTGACAAGGATTGTCAGTTTTCCTATCGAAAGTCTATGGTTCTCTCCTGGCACACCAGCTTCCTCCGCAAATAAAAACTGACCGCCACGAAATAGCACAATAGTGCTTAAAGTGGCGTTAAACACCAATCATTCAATGTTTTACAATTTTAAGGAAAAAAAGGAACAAAGGGACAGCATAATTATATAAACTACAGTTATTGTTTATCGTATGAATAAAAGCAAGAACACATTATATATTTATAATAAAAAATCATTCGAAGTCGAAATATCAAAGAGTATATACTAAAAACATTCAAACACATTAAAAAGAGATCCCATGCCTCACAGTGCCTGCGCTTCAAATGACTATCAAACCGCTGCTATACAAAATAGTAATGCATTGATTAATTGGTGGTTGCTTAACGTCCAGAGGCAAATATTTCATGCATGTTCAGGACGAAGTAGAAATGAAAGTCTCAAATGTAAATATGGGCGATGTCTCCATTGCATTGTTGCTTAAAACTTCTGGTTAAACATCTCGCGAGAATTAGTTTGTTGCACCTGGGACTACAATATATCTAAACTAACACTGGTCATGTGTGTTTAACAATATAAAATTTTACTCAGTTTCCTCGTACGCCGAAACCAAAAACTAGGACACAATCGATTAATACTCCCGAGAGAGAGAGAGAGAGAGAGAGAGAGAGAGAGAGAGAGAGAGAGATAAAACTGAGTAAAATGAATAGTAAGCTCATGTGAAATCAAAAAAATAAATATAGTGACCGTTTTCTTAAAAGTCAAAAATTGTGTACAAAACAAATTGTTGTCGTGTTGTACTGTATCAGCTAAAAGGTGGAAAACTAGCTTGTTATAGATAACATGATTATAGTAACCTATTTAAATCTTATTTTCACATCTTTTAAAATTTATTGATGTGTGCGGTATAGTTCAGATGTTGCATCTTATTCAAAAAATTATCTTTTTTGTCCTTCATTCCGGGACCTAACAATGCGTATTTGAAAGTGGACTATTAAAAAATATTTCCGAAACAAACGGGAAACTGAAGTTTACATGTGTTACTGCTGAACGCATAACGAGGGTCTAGGTGGGGTTTACATAATAGAGCAAACGGTACAGAATATAGGACAAGAAATATAAAGAATAGAGAATAATGGGGTACTTAAATATATAGAATAAAGAAAAATGACATAAAAAAATCAAGAATATGTTCTATCGATTAAGTACACAAACGTTATCCTGTTCAGGTCACTGCATAAGTTAGTGACACATCTCCATTAATCCTTATAGGGAGTGTACACGGATTCCACTGTACCCTCGCAGCTCTCGAGGGGTGCTTCGCATATCGGAGGAATTTAAGTACATACATATATACTGCCATTTGTTTTGTCTGTTTGCATGACAAGGCATATTTTGTCCTACTTAAATTTTTGATGGCGTGATGCCTCAGAGAACTTTAATTTATCATTTGTTATATAAAGATAAACTTCCGGCTTCTTATTCAAACATCTGACAATTACAATAAAGTTTATATTTATAAGGTAACAAAATTTATTCACCTGTTATTCAATTAACGTTAAAATGCGTTTTGTTTATCAATTTAAAATTCATACTTCAAATAAAGATAAAGAAAGTTTTATATACATACTTGAATGGCTATCTTCTACTATAAAACATCATAATTTGAAAATTATTCACATTGGTTTAATATTTTTCCTTTGGTTTTTGTTAAAAAAGAAATCGAATTAATTCTTGTGCCTTTCATCTTTGAGTCGTATCAAATTTAGAAAATAATCTTATGTAGTGTTGATCAAAAGTGAAAGGCAATTAATACCTAAAATCTACCGATTCTATGTACAAAGTTGTAGCAAACATCTTACATATACAAAGGAGTTTTTGCAAGAATCTGCATGGGACTATTATATTTGTTAATATATTAGTCCCAGCGAAGACGGGAATAGAAAGAAACCAAATCATTTTTTAGCCAGCGGCCGGTCAAACAAGATGAAAGGGAGGAGATCATTATTGGTACACTCAATGTACAAAATGTGAAATCAAGCGCTCTCTATATCAAAAACTTGCTAAGAGATGTACATGTGTTATGCCTTCAAGAACATTGGCTCTTCAATGTGGAAAAGAAAATCATATGTTAAATTACTGGAAATAGCGGATATATAGCTAAAAACGTTGATGATAATGACGACCCTGATTTCAACGTATCAATGAAAAGAAGATATGCTGGAGTAGCCATAGTCTGGAAAAAAGAAATTAAGAAAACTATAAAGGAACTGATAGACGGTGGAAATAGAATACAAGCAATACATATTCAACAAAGAGATAAACCAATATGTCTAATAAATGTATATATGCCATCAGATAACAAAAATGCAGATATAGAATACAAAGACACTTTGGCTCAAATTGATGAAATGATAGAGAAATATAAAGATACACACGAAATCAAAGTCTGTGGAGGCATGAATGGTCACTTTACAGAAGCTCTACACCTCATGATAAAATTCTACAGACTTTCTGCAAGGAAAAATGTATAGGAAATACTGAGAAATGCCCACTAAAAGAAACGTTTTATCACCAGAATGGTAAATCTAAAGGACAAATTGATTATTTCCTCTTCAAAAGTAACTCGCAAATCTCAAATAAAATCAAACAAACTGATGTCCTTGATACTGACCCACAGAATACCTCGGACCACGTACCTGTTATTCTGACACTGAATTGCCAACTGAAAAAAAAGGAAAAAGCAACAACTATTATAGCAAAACCTAAATTGGCTGACTGTGACCACCAAATCTACAAGGAAATCATCAATAAAGATCTACCAAACCTCATGCAGAAATCAAAAGGAATCTTTGAGCAAGATATAATAAATCTAGAAAAATTGCTCCATATCGCTGGAGAAGCGGCAATCCCAAAGTATAGAAGAAAAATCAAAATTAAATCCAAGGGAAAGGTCATATGGCAGGGGCGTAGCTGGACTTACATAAAGTGCAATCATAAATTTTTTTTTGGAGAAAATGATAACTTTTTTCGGGCATTTTCCCGGTATGCCATGCTTATGAAATTCACATCACATTCACGCCCAAACTCCTATTTTGTGAATACTTGTGGACTTTATAGTGATTCGGCAAGGGAGGAGGCTATGGACCGCTCAAAGTCCCCAGCTGGTCCAGGGTAGCACCCTAGTCGGGTATCCAGGGCAGCACCGTAGACGGTGGTCCAGGGAAGCGAATCCCCATCAAGCTCCGGGCATATGAGTTATTACAGTGACTGCTTTGAACATGAAAATACCCTATCTGTTTCTTACTATACCATATTTTCATGAAACGATAGTAAAAGTCTAGTGAGTTCCGTAATTTGATACTTATATCATTAACATGGTTATTTTCAAATATCAAAAAATTTTATAAAACGGGAAGATCAGGAAGAGTCGACAACCGAAGCGTTAATCAATGGACAATTGACAAACCCGGTAACAGATAAGACACAAAAGGAGAAACAAAAACATTCAACATTGAAAACTAAATACAGATGAAAAACACGGACCCAGAAAACAATGTGGCGACCTCCGGTGCTCCAAAAGGGTAAGCAGTTCCTGCTTCTTGCAAGACATCCGTAGTGTGTCTCACGAAGGTCATTCTCAAATCAATGGAGAGGTTTCTACGACAACGGTAGAAGGTCATTTGGGACACAGATACCCCAGATGAATCAATAGTCTTTTGGACGAACTGGCAATGGGAATACGAAATCTAACGGCCACTTTTAAGTCTTGACTTATAAGTAAGGGATATAAATCTAAGATGTTTTCAAGGTGATTGTATTGAGCCTGTATTATTAAATGTTAATACTGCATGTAAGACTTAAAGTATAGTTAATACCGAAAGTCCATATATCTATTTTTTGCCAAGGCAAATGATCGCAGAACTCTCTCGGTGTTGATATCCATTTCTTTGTGAGCATGTATGAGCGCCAACGAAGATAGTCTGTCCTGTACCATGGTTGAACGGAGATAAGTTTTCGGTCTTAATGCACTAAATGACCGTTCAGTAGTTGATGTAGTTACTGGTATTGTAACTAGAATTGAGAAGATTGCGAATATTGAAGGATATATAGTTCCTTATTAGTCACTGCTACAGACGACATCAGAGATTTGGGCTTTAAACACCGCCCGACACGATAATCTGTAAAGACTAAAGACTATCCGTAATTCAATTTCAGAATTATTTTTTTTTTGTGAAAAAAATGTGCAAGCAAATGATTTTTTGCGTAAAGGCAGCTACGCGCCTGTATGGAACGAACATATAGAAAAGGCATCAAAACAATCAAAAAATGCATGTAAAGTATGGAGGCAAAATGGAGCACCTCAAGAAAGAAGTAACGAGCTCAAAATCAAAATGACAGCTGCGAAAAGAATACTTAGAAAAGCACAAAGACAAGCTTATGCCTCTCAGAGGGAATCAACAGCTGAAAAAAAACTATGAAAGCTTCAAATGCAGACACAAAACTTTTCTACAAGCTTATCAACATGCAAAGAAACCCCCACTTTCTAATACTAAGATACTTAAACTGAATGATAAGACTGCAGAAGATGGACCAGGCATAATGAACATTTGGCAAGAACACTTCCAACAACTAGCTACACCAACATTAGAGCAAAATTTCGACACTGAAAAGCTAGAGCTTGCAGAAATACAAAACAATATAATAGAAAGCATAGAAAGGGAAAAAGGTCAAGGCATTGCTCATGTCATTGTACAGGAGGTAAATATGGCCATAGAAAAACTTAAAGCAGGAAAAGCACCAGATGAGGACGGAATTTCGGCAGAACACTACAAATATGGGATGGATGAGTTAACTCCCTTTATAGTGCATATGCTAAATATAATTATAACATATTTGGACGTACCAATCTTCCTAAAGACAGGGTTTCTTACACCAAGTATAAAGAAAGAAAAAGACAAAACATTACCATCTAGCTATAGAGGAATAACTGTAACTAAAACATTTGCAAAAATATTACAAAGTATACTGAAGGATAGAGTTAACTCTGTATTTAATAACATACAAAACTCCCTGCAAAGAGGTTTTACAGAGGGAGTGTCATCACTATGCGTAACATTCCTCACTTCAGAAGCAATTGAAGAAAGTAAGAAATTAAAGATACTGATGATCTTAATTACTCTTGATGCGGAAAAAGCATTTGACAAACTGAACCACGAAATACTATTCAATAAGCTGTACCATTATGGAATAAAAGGAAAACTCTGGATACTGCTGAGAAACTTGTATAAAGGCATGAGCATTAAGGTAAGATCGGAAGGTCAATGTAAAGGAGATGTTATGGTGCTACAAGGAATACAAGGAGCAAAATTATCTACCACCCTATATAAATGCTACAACAATGTCATACTGGATAGCATTTTAAAAAGTGGACTTGGAGCAAGTATTGGTGATATACAAGTCCCCGCACCTACATGTGCCGATGGCATCGCTGTCCTGGCAAATAGGGCTGCAGATGCACAAGGAATACTAGACATAGAACAGCACCACACAAGAGATCTAGTAAAAATCAATCCAACTAAATCTGAAGCTGTTTTCTACAATGCTAAAGGCTTAAACTCATCAACATTGTAATTCGAACATGGTGACATCAATATAACCCATGAAACCAAACACCTAGGTATCAAAAGAAATGAACAAAACTGGGCAAATATCTCAGAAAGAATAAGAACTGACAGGGCAACAATATGCAGCCTTCTGGGAGCTGGTTTACATGTCAGAAGGGGATTTTCACCCATGGTAGCATACAAGCTATGGAGAACATATGCAGTACCAAGAAGTAGCTAAGGGCTTGAAGTGATGAATTTACCTGCAAAAGAAAAGGATATGCTAGAATTGGCAGAGAGGAAAATTCTCCGACAAATAAAAGGGCTTCCAAATAATACAGCAAATATGGCTGTCTATACCCTGGTAGGAGCAGAACCTATTGCCATCACCTTGGACAAAAATCTACCAACCTTTTTCATGAAAATTGTTAGAAATTCAGGAAATCAAGAAGTTACTATATAGAAAAGCCACTTAAGAAAACCGAATGGAAAAAGCTAATAGAAATAACTTTAAGATCAAGTAATACTGGAAAAATGAATGTCACAATGAAAAAATGGAAAAAACATCTCTTAAATACATAGAGATACAGGACAAGCCATTAAATAAAGTTCACAATATATGGAAAAGTGTAAAAAACAATACTAAAGATGTAAAGGCAAGAGAAATAAAAGCAAGACTAAGTACCCAAACGTACATATCCCAACCAAAAGAGCCAAGTTCGATCCAAAAGTTAACCCATTATGTACAATCTGTGAACAGGAAAAGGAAGATCTAGAACATTTTATTCTACATTGCACAGAATTGGAGCAAATAAGATCTAAATATTGCTAAAAAATCAAACAGAAAATGGATGAAATCGATACTTCAACATACAGGAAGATCATACAACAAGGGAATTTACTCCTACTCATAATGGATTGTACTAGCAAGGACATAAACTGTTATTCAACTGTGTATGAAAACATAGAAACCTTGGTTAGAAATATGTGCTATGAGATGCACATGCTTCACACAAAAAAGATTAAAGCTTGATCACAAGTACAGTATAAGTGATAATTTAAAATAAAATAGTTCCTATTTTTACCTTTTTACTATTTTATGATAATTTAATACTTACATATAGCTTCATTAAAGTTTTTAAGATATATTAAGTACCTTTAAAGACTAATGATGATGTCTATAAAATAGAAATTTTTAAATTGTGATGGAAATCTTAAGTTTATACATTGGAACTGTTCAAAACTTTAACTCATTTACATAACACCCTATTAAAATAATCTTTTTATTTTAAATTCTGATGTAAGAATAGCACCTTTTAACTAACCAATAGAATTAAATTTTAAAACTATTTTAAACTTTTTAAATTCTATTTGTAAATATATCCAGTTCTTACTAAACTTTTTCTTACACCTCAGCACATGTTTTTAATAATATAACTATTATGATTAATTAATTTTATGTTTTAAAACTGTAATGACTATCCTTTGAATTAATCATAATATTGCCCTTATTTCCTTTATCTGTACATAGATTTTATATGTTCCCTTATGTTTTAAGGTGTATATAGTTGCTACAATCATACCCTATGGGTAGTGCTCCACAATTAATGGAGGAACATACAAGAAACTGAACTGATTGAAGATGAATTCTATTTTCTCATTAAATGTAAAGCATTAGAGAAATACATATACTCTTTTGAAATTTAAGTGATATAGTTCCATCTTTTTTTAATATGTCTGAACAAGATAAATTTAGTTTCATTTGAAAAGTAATGACATTGACATTTGTACTGTATGTGTAGCCTGAATAAGCGATATGGATGATAAGAACCTTCATTTAAAGCAAACTTAATGTTGTTAAGAACTGTTGGTAGTATTAAAGCTTAGTGTAATAGCTTGATAACATAGTATGAACTAGACATTATTTAGATGGGAGCCATCTCTGTGGGCCCCGCTGTAAATAACTTGTGGTAAAAAATGTGTATTGATAAGCTGATATGTAGCACTTTTTTAAGTTATTACATTTTCTCGTTATGTGCTGAGAGTGATTTTATTCTATGTTTTTTAGTTAAAGTGTTATATTTGGCCTAAGAAGTTGTACATACATTATGACACACCCTCTAGTGTTGGTTAATATACATGTCAAGTATAAAGTATGAATTATAACGGTTCTCTAGATATAAAGCGGACACAATTTGTTATGGATGGACGGGCAGACTGATCACTATAGGGCAACCTGCTACAATGCGGGGCCCCTAATAACACCTCCACTCAATGTAGATATAAAATATTTGTCTCTTATCATTGAGAAAATATGTCTCTGTATATTTGTCTTTATTTTTGTATTTGAATTTTGTAAATGTCAGCTGGTATCATTCCTGTATTGGGATTTACACCAATAAAATAATTTGATATGATTTGATTTGTAATAAAGTGTCTGCTTGATTATTTAAGACAAAAGCAGTTTATTTTGTCAATTAATATTGTCATCAAGAGGTGGGGATTCCAATTACCCCATCTTTGCCTCTAATTACTTGTTGATCATTGCAGTTGTGAATCATATAGCTATTGTAGAGGCCCCTCATGGGGGTGTCCAAGAAATCACATAACAAAAACCCCATGAGGAGGCTCATTGTATCAGTACTCTAACTTCAATAATAAATAATTAAAATGACCCAACAATGCGGCAAATTGACATTTCTAATGTCGCCCATACGTGAATAAAACTGCTCAAAAGAAGTACTAGTAACCTTATCTCCACTAGTGGAGCAGGATCTGCTTACCCTTCTGGAGAACCTGAGATCTCCCCGGTGTTTGGTTGGGTTTGTGTTGCTCAGTCTTTAGTTTTCTATGTTGTGTTTTGTATACTGTTGTTTGTCTAAATTTATGTGTGTTACACGTATGATTTTGAAAACAGTTAAGGCTATTGTGTCAGTCTATCTTCTGCCCTCTAGATGTCTTTTAACCATTTTCATTGTCAGATTGCTGTCTCATTGACTTTCCTCTCTTTCATAATGAAAGTATCTAAGTAAACAAATAACTATCTGAAAACACCTTAAACTATTAAATTTTCTATTAAATCAAATAAATATAAGAAAACATTTTGCATGAGTATCTAGTAAAATAAAGCTAAAAAAATATGTATGTATTTGAAATGCTATAAACAAAGAAAAAAATAAAAGAGCCAATATTTGACCTCTTCCATCAAATAGTCTCCAACATGTCAGAATTCATTTCAAGCTTATCGCTATATAAACATAAAACTGGCCATTTAAGTAATCATATATCAACAATTATGTCATAATGATAACATATAAATATAGAAACTCATATTTTATAGGATTATACAAAAATAAAATAATTTTCAGGAAAATAAAAGTCATATTTTTTTCCTATCAATTACTTATACTAATTCAAGTAGAAAAGTATCCACAGTGGTCAATTCTGATTTTAATAAAATATATGAATAACATCAAAATCTTGTGGGAAAATATCTTTTTGGTTTAGGCTGTTGAAATGATGCCACCTGTTGTGCAGTTACAGTGGCGGATCCAGGAGGGGGGGGGTGGGGGTTGAATCCCCCCTTTTTTTTGACGATCAATGCATTTGAATGGGGACATGAAGTTGGAACCCCCTCCCCTTTTACAAATGGCTGGAATCGCCCCTGAGTTACATTAAGTAAAATTAAGACTGAGGACAAATATTTAAGGAGAAAATTGAATACATTGTCATCTCAATGTCATTAGGTTATGTAATAAATTTATTAAATATAATGATTTTCAAAATCAAGGAGTCAATAAATGATCAATAGCTGCTTCTCAATAAATAACAGTATCTAAATATAATAACATGCCAACAGTATCTAAATATAATAACATGCCAACAGTATCTAAATATAATAACACAAGATTAAATTATGCAATATTAACTATTGTTCAAGTAATAATGTAATTCAACATGAGAAAAACTTACATCAGATAATTGCAATATATTTGTATGCATTACTTCTGAAAATCTTTGACATTTAGTCATCTATGGATGACAGGATTGATGAGGGGGTGGGGGTTTAGATTTTACTGTGAACTACATAATTTAAATATGGCACACAATATCAAGAGTTGTCTTCTCTTTTTCCACAGAATCATCCTTAGACCATCTTTGCCTTTCAAAACATTTAATGATAGTAGATTATGGGTGTTCAAAAACTTAATTAATTTTGAAAGTTCTCAATAAATCATTGATTTCCTCCACTGTAATTCTTAATTGTGTGGATTTTCTATGTCAATAAGAATTTTCAATAATATAAAATCAATATGATTTAAATGGTTTAAATTTATTTATGGCACATAAAAAATTCTACTGAACCAATGATTGATACATCAATTAATGAGCTATGCAAAATCTAAATTGCCAAAATAAAAATAACAACAGCAAGTCAGCAAACCAACAAGACAAACAAAACCTAAAAAATAGCACCCTGAGGTCACGAAGATGTAAAAAAAAATCTTCAACCATTTTAACCTTCTTTGAGCATGACTTCTTATGATATATTTTTTTATATGAAACTGCATACATTCAAGGCTGTATTATGAATACATAAATGGGACCACTTAGAAATCTCAATGATGTTTTTGTAAAGTGAAAGTGTATGACAAACTCTACAATTGCGTCTTATAGATGGTTACCCTATTTTCAAAGTGACTTTCCTGTGTAAGATGTATGTTTTCATAGAACAGCCTTCAGATAATAAAACAAGTTCTTTTCAAAGTACAAATAACAGAAATATAAGTAACTACATTAATTTCAACACATTCTATCATATATCACAACCGAACATATTAACGATCGGTAAACACTTTTATCAATTTATAATAGATGCTGATCTATAAACCTTTTCATCACATTGTATATAAAGCATTCTCATATAAATGTGTTCTGGGTGGCAAAGTGCAACATTTTCCAGAAAAAAAATGGAAAGACCTGTTCCTTCAAATAATCTGGAATCTTTGTTAACCCAAGTTATTTTCTGTTTATGTTGCATATTATCATGAAATCTTGTATTCAGATTTTTACAGACAGGAATTTTATACATTTCTGAAAACGATGAAAATTATGAAAAAACATGAAGGTACTCTTGACAGAACAGCTGCTAATTATATTTCACTCCCACTTAAACCTTCTTCCTCGAGTATTTTAACATGAGCTCGTCACCAACTTCGTCTAAAATAGCAATAGCCTGAAATATATGCATAATAAAGTCAATATTCAGTGTATAATATTTTGAAGCATTTCAGCATCTTTAAAAAAAATTCTTAATATTTCAAGGGATAGTTGCATATGATAGTTTTTGAGATACAAAAAATTGAAAATGTTAAAACTGGGACAAAGAAACATTGTCAAAATTAAATATATAATAATCAATTCCCCTCCCAAAAAACTTTCAAAATATTCTACCACAAAGCAACATGACAGGTGTTACAGGCAAAGTTTACCCTTCTGGAGCACCTGATATAATTTGAGGCTAGAAAGGAAATTTGTATACCCTAAGCTTGGGTTTTAGTGTTGAATCTTCACTTTCATATTTGTCTCATCTTCTTTTTTCACATGTCTCAATTCTTTTATAGAATAGTGAATGGTAAGAGGGAATGTGTCAAAGAGACAACAACCCGACCAAAGAGCAGAAAATAGACTAAGGTAACTGTCTTCTTTGTCGTACTTTCTAAGAATCAACATATGATCCCCTGTTAACATATTTGAAAATATCTACCATTATCAACATAATGGGAGCCATGTTGAGGAAGATATGCTTAGGGCTATTCCATTAAAATGTATGTGGGAGGGTAGGAAGGGAAGTTTAATTATTGAATGTGGGTCATTTGTCTTTTTTCAGTATGAGTCTTTTACCATTATGCAAAATTATCTAAATAATGGTTCTTGGTTATAGGGATATTTTGAAAGTCCCTTCCTACCCTTCCACATACATTTTAATGGAATAGCCCTTACCTTTCTGGTGGACCTTATATCACCACAGGCTTTAGGTTGGGTTTGTTTTGCTCAGTCTTGTTTATTGTGAAGTGTATTGTATACGGTTGTTTGTCTTTTTGTTATTTTTTTGCCATGATTTTGTCGGTCTTTCTACAACTTATGAGTTTGATTCTCCCTTCGGTCTCTTACCCCTCTTTTTTTAAGGTATTGACATTTGTAAATTGTTTGTAACACATACCTTATCTAGTGTTTCTTTAGTATGAGCTGCCGATAAACATAGTCTAGCACGTGACTCTATAATTGGAGTAGCAGGGAAGCCTACGACACATATCCCTAAACCTTTCTCTATGCACATTCTATTGATAGCTCTGAAATATAATTTCATTATTAATTATTTTGTTCTTATTGACAAAAAAATTATAGAGGTTGAAAGACACTGTTTCTCTTACAACCTACACTCATGCAAATCTTTAAATCAAAGCATCGTGGTTGTTGTGATCCAGCCAATTTTGTAAATAGTCTAAGATTTTTTCTGACTATACTTTCAATATTTCTTTTGTTATTTTCATTTCCATAATATCACTGTAAAATTTCTTTTCTACTGCCCGAAGATGGAGAATTTTGCAATATTGATGCAAATTATTTCTGTATTTCAATTGAAGACACTGTCAGATTTTTTTACATCTTTTTTTTCAGAAACATATGCAATTCAATGATTTTGACAAGAATGTTAATGTCAATATTTCAAAGGGACATAACTCTTTTAAAAACAATTGATCTGCACTAATTTTTGAACTCATCATAAACATTGATGAAATAAACCTATAATATAAATTTCATAAAAATCTGGCAAGAATTGTACACATTAAAGCACTCATATGGCAATTTTATATACAAGTTATATTTCCAAGGGGCATAGCTCTTTTAAAAATAATTGATCAGCACTGATTTTCGAACTCATCCAACACATCGTTGATATAAACCTATGATATAAATTGTTAACATGAGAGTGCTAACGATGCAATTTTCCATATAATTAATGTTTCCAAGGGGCATAACTCTTTTAAAAATAATTGATCTGCACTGATTTTCAAACTCTTCCAAGACATTGCTGATATAAGCCTATGATATAAGTTTCATAAAAATCTGGCAAGAATTGTACACATGAGAGCACTAACGATGCAATTTTCCATATAATTAATGTTTCTAAGGGCAAAACTCTTTCAAAAATAATTGATCGGCACTGATTTTTGAACTTGTCCAAGACATTGCTAATATAAACCTATGATATAAGTCTTATAAAAATCTGGCAAGAATTGTTAACATGAGAGCGCTAATAATGCAATTTTCCATATAATTAATGTTTGGAAGGGGCATAACTCTTTTAAAAATAATTGACTGGCACTGATTTTTGAACTCGTCCAAGACATTGCTGATATAAACCTATGATATAAGTTTCATAAAAATCTGCCAAGAACTGTTCATGTGAGAGCGCTAACAAGACCGGACAGACAGACACCTGTTTTTTCTATGTTCCACGCAACGCGTTGCGCGGGGGACAATAACATATTAAAAGTTTGCAGTTGATGATTAAAATGTTGTATAAAGTTTCTGCAAGTCATAGAAACACATAATTATTTTCATGATATGTCTTCAACTTAGAATTCTGCACCATCTCCAAATCCGGAGTTATCACAGATCCAGCATGGCTGAATCAAAAATCAAATATTTGGTTCAAAAAATTATTAAGCCCCTACCAAAAATACCTTTTTCATCACTAGTGCCTAATGCATGGCAAAAAATAATACTTCGGTGCATTTATTCGGTAAGTCAAATACAGAGTGTATCGTTTTTCAGAAATTCCAACTCGGGGTTTTCTTTCCAGAAATAATATTCATGATAAAAAGAATTCATTTTTTGAAAAACTGATGAAGTATTTTTATTCTTTTTTATCAAATCTTGATTTTACCTGTTCTTTTGATCAAAGACACGTTACTCCATTTTACCAGAGAAAAAAAATGTCTTGCAATTACAAATGGAATCACTACAATACTCGACTCTGTATACTTTGAATTCATAATTATTTGATTTGGTACTAATTTTTGCGGTTGTCATGGATAAAGTTAAAATATAAATTTAAATTTTTAATGAAGTATCTTTTTCTATAGGCTTTTATGAATACTTTGGCAATTCCGTGAAATCATTATCAACAAATACATGATTTTCAACAAAAATTCATACCAACAAAAGTAAATAATACCACAGTAACTTTAAACAATATGATACTTACCCTAGTTTTGAAGGGAAGAATACTAGTAAAGGCACTACAGGTGAGTCATCATTTCCTCCTTGATACTTACCCTAGTTTTGTAGGGAAGAATACTAGTAAAGGCACTACAGGTGAGTCATCATTTCCTCCTTGATACTTACCCTAGTTTTATAGGGAAGAATACTAGTAAAGGCACTACAGGTGAGTCATCATTTCCTCCTTGATACTTACCCTAGTTTTGTAGGGAAGAATACTAGTAAAGGCACTACAGGTGAGTCATCATTTCCTCCTTGATACTTACCCTAGTTTTATAGGGAAGAATACTAGTAAAGGCACTACAGGTGAGTCATCATTTCCTCCTTGATACTTACCCTAGTTTTATAGGGAAGAATACTAGTAAAGGCACTCCAGGTGAGTCATCATTTCCTCCTTGATACTTACCCTAGTTTTATAGGGAAGAATACTAGTAAAGGCACTCCAGGTGAGTCATCATTTCCTCCTTGATACTTACCCTAGTTTTATAGGGAAGAATACTAGTAAAGGCACTCCAGGTGAGTCATCATTTCCTCCTTGATACTTACCCTAGTTTTATAGGGAAGAATACTAGTAAAGGCACTCCAGGTGAGTCATCATTTCCTCCTTGATACTTACCCTAGTTTTATAGGGAAGAATACTAGTAAAGGCACTCCAGGTGAGTCATCATTTCCTCCTTGATACTTACCCTAGTTTTGTAGGGAAGAATACTAGTAAAGGCACTACAGGTGAGTTGTCATTTCCATATACTATAAAACCTTTTTTTATTAGCTCTCTTCTAAAATATCGGGTATTCCATTTTAACTGCTCTATTCTTTTCTTGCCTAAAAAAATGAACATTAATAAACATCTCAGAGAAACAATATTGGCTGAATTGTCTAAACTAGAGGCTCTAAAGAGCTTGTGTTGCCCACCTAGGCCTAAATGCATCTTCAACAATGGACCCTATCCAAAATTGAAGACTAGAATATGATTTATGATTAGTACCAATTGTCCTAAAAAGAATTGACTAACAATTTCAGCAATATTCACTTATTTGTAGATCTTACCTTGCAGATATTTTTGCTATTCAAAGTCTTTCTATCTTTTATAGTTTTCAAGATAACAGGCAAAAGATAAAAAAAAGTGGTTAAAAAAAATCATCATTAAAGGGCAATAACTCCTATAAGAAGTCTTCTCACAGTTTTGATGGAAATGGACATAATTGTTTTGTTATAAATAAGGCCGTTAGTTTTCTCAATTGAATTGTTTCATATATTTCATGTCAGGGCCTTTTATAGCGGACCATACGGTATGGGTTTCTTATTGTTGAAGGCTGTACGGTTGCCTATAATTGCTTACATCCACTTCATTTGAACTTTGGTGGATATTTGTCTCATTGGCAATCATACCACATCTCCTTATTTTTATAAGATAGATATCAACATTTTGAAAATTTCTTCCCTGTTTGATTTTCTGTATCTAAAGCAGTTTTTAAGATAATAGTCAAAACTTGCATTTTACCCCTATTTTCTATTTTTAGCCATGTCAGCCATGTTGTAGGCAGGGAGAATCATCAGACACATTTATAAAACTTAAAAACTATAATGATTGTGGGCAAATTTAGTTCCAATTGGCCGAGTAGTTTCAGAGGAGAAGATCTTTGTAAAAGTTGATGGATGACAACAGATGACAGACACCAAGTGATGAGAAAAGCTCACTTGACCCTTCCGGTCAGGTGAGCAAAAAAAAAAGAATGAAAAGCAATATCTTGTTTCGTTTCATTTAATAAAGCTTATTCATTTGACAGACCAAAACAAATTGTTTACAAGTTTACATTTGGAAAAGATAATGTTGACTGGTCAACAGATTCATATATTTAACTGATATGTCTGATTTTGTAATGTGTTTCTATAGTATGTCACAAACTAACACCCTTTTCCTGTGTAATAAAACATGCTTTTTCAACTGTTTACATGCCATTTTTTTTCATCAAACTGGACTGACAAGCAATCAAATGCAATCTGATACATTGTGGTAAACTGTTTTTGTATGGTTTAAAGTTTTTTTTAGTATTTTTGGCTTTTTCAATTGATTGTTATTAATGTCAAGGTAGCAAACGGCATTCACTAGAGTTTAACAATCACAAGTTGCTTTCAAAAATATTTTTGGCAAATGTCTAATGGTTGGAAGAGGTTTTTTTCTTTTAATGTAGTTTCCCCAGACCAGTAGCTTCATCTAGAGACCACAACAGCCAAAGGAAACAGTACTTTTGTACACAAAATGAAAGTGATTGAGGGCCAAATATTTGCATTTTACAGAATTTCAACTTTTTTCATTTAATTTGCTTTCCGCCAACAGTGATCAAATAAGAATTAAAAAAACTCAAGTTAACTTGAAACTTGTTGCTATTCAAAAGAGATTGCATGGTTAATTTACCTTATATTACCAGGTTTCTTTGCATGCTCAATAATAAAATCTTGACCAATGTGAATGTAAGTTGTCATACATACAAACCTTCTAATGTACCGTCCCTCCCCATCATTATAGACATTGACGATAAAATTTGTTGACAAACTCCTGGACACATTGTAGGGGAATACATTGACGAATGGGAATGTAGACGTAAGTGATTTATCAGTTGCTGCAAAGAAAATAGAAACACTAGAACTATTTTATTAAATTGACACAGTTGTCTCCCTTTCAATACAAAATTTGGGCAGATACTGTAAACAAACTTATTTTTGTGGATACTTTGTTTCACGTTAAGCCCTTTCTATCCCTTTTCAAGGCGATTTAATTTTGTGATTTTCTAATTTACTTGAAGTAGTTGAATAAGGAACGATCTAATTTTTACATGTTCACGACGATTTATTTTCGCGTTATTGTTTTACTCGCGAAAATAAGTTGGTTTACAGTATGGCTTTATGAGGAGAACAAACAAAAAATAGTCACTAATTAACTGATTAGTTCACAGTCAATTACAATGGTAGGTGTGATTTTATCTTATTCTATCAAAATGCAAACTATCTGAAGTGTATAGGTTAAATGATAAAAGAGTTCTGGCCTGGAATGCTAAAATGCCCCAAAAAAAAGAAATTAATCTTGAGGTCAAAAGCCAAAATTAAGTCATGAATATGAATATTGTGTACTTGAACATGCAAAAAATTATATGATTATGTGAAAAGATAAAAATGTCTGTCTCAACAACTCCTGTATGTAAGAAAATTAATCTTTAAACTCTTACTCGGTGGTTGCTATTTGTAATAACTGTTTTTCATCATTGTTTTTAGCTTAAATTGGGCTGTTAGTTTTCACTGGTGTATTTTTTTTACGTTTTTTATGCATGACCTTTTTATAGCTTACTATAAGATGTGAGTTTTGTGGATTGTTGAAGCCTGTATAGTGACCTGTAGTTGTTCAAATCCTTGCTCTTTGGTCTTCTAGTGGAAAGTTTTCTTATGAGTAATCACACCACGACTCTTTATTTTTACAATGGTAATATTGTCTGAAAATTACATTTATCAAATATTCGTAATCAGTTGAGCTAGGGAAGTACTTCTTAAGCTCAGTCAGTTCACAGAGGTTCCAGTTTCGTGTCCTGGAGGAGAAAATGTGATTTTCTAGTGACAATTATGCTCTCCACTTACATACCTTAGTTCCAGCAATATATCCTCCGGCAGCACCAAAACTCTTAGTAAATGTTCCCATCATTACATCCACGTCCTTTGGATCGAGTCCAAAATAATCAACTACACCCCTACCAGTGTTACCTATAGCACCAATACTATGAGCTTCGTCTAAGTATACATAGGCTTTGTATTTCTTCTTTAATTGCAGGACTTCTGGTAGGCGTATGACTGAGCCTTCCATACTGAAAAAATATACAATATCATTTAAATCTATGCAAATTGAAAACCCCCCTGCCTACCGCCTTAAATAGCAAGTCACATCTAAACCTAACTTGACATAGGGTACACTTGTCAAATACTGAAGGTCATATATTGCCCTCTAGACATCTTTTTGTTTCTTTGTTGTGTTGTTTGGTTGCTGTCTCATTGACCTTTTCTCAACATCTCCTTTTATTCAATGACATACTTTCTTTTGGTTTGATTTATCTAGGTTTTAATTTCTTGATATTTTTTTTTTTGGAGGAGGGGGAGGAGGAGGAAGATGAGGGAGAGAATTTACAAAAATTCTAACCTGTATACTCCTTCAACCACAATCAATATTTTTTTCCAAGCTCGACTTCGTCTCGGTTGACCATCTACAACTGCTGCTTTAAGCTTCTTTTCTAAATCTGCCATATCTAAAAGAAATAACATAAAAGGTCAAATTTAAGTCAACTTTATAATAAAGCAAGATTATTTTCAATTGGATTTTTCATTCACCAACCATACTCTTATTATTTTGAAACGCTAACCACCAAACTAAATTTTTTAAATGAAGACAAGACCAAAAATGTGACATCAACCCTTCCTTAAATCTGATCTCCTCTAAGCACTCTGCATACTGAAATCTCAGTGTTGACAGACTTGTGATCACTAGATGAACTACTTAGACCACTTGGCCACCAAGGCCCCCCAAGTACAGAAGGAAAGTTGAGGTTTTGGAATCAAGTGTATTCCATAATATTGTTATTTTGTATATTCAAACTAATTTGATTCATTCATGTTCAACTGTATTTTCAAAGGTAGACAGAAAACAGCAGATAGACCAGTGATATAGCACATATATTTCTAAAATACCTAAAAATAGAAATCTAATAAATTGCTTCGCTGAGCGCAGCTGGATACGACCACAGATGTCCAACCCTGAAAAGTTGGGGCCAAAATGGACACAATATTCACGCTTGATACAGGTCTGAATTTGGATTGTAATTAAATTTTTGACACATAATAGGTTTCTGATACAGAATAACTGTAGTCAAAGAACTTCAAATTGGTTATATGATTTGAATTTATATTCAATTTTTTGCTTTTGTGCAATACACTATGCTGTTGAATATTAACCCCCCCCCACCCCAAAAAAAAATATGTGAAGAAATTTTTTTCAACTCCCCCTTTCTCTTATTCCAAAAATAATCTCAATTTAAATTTCTAATGGAGTTTGCAACCATAACTACTCATTTAAATACATCATAAAATATTAAAATATAAAATGACATACAGTCATGGTTAAAATTAATATTAATTAATAGTAACTTCTAAAAATAAATTCACAGCTAATCATCTCAAGACAATCATCATTTCTTAATACATAATTTACAAGCAGTGTAAGGGAGGTAATCAAACCTATATACAACAGTATTCTTTTAATGGATTGGATTACTTCCCTTACACTGCTTTTAAATTGTCTAAATTGTCCTTTAACCATAAAAACCCTTGTTTTTCCCCCTTTTTTGCCCCTAATTGCTAAATGGTTTGAGCCATAACCCCCCATAACCATCCATTTGTTGTATGGAAACTTGTGGTATAATTTCAGAGAGATTCATACACTTAAACACAAGTTATTGTCTGGAAACTGCAAAAATGCTTATTTGGGCCCCCTTTTTGGCCCCTAATTCCTAAACCTTTGGAACCATAACCCCCAAAATCAATCCCAACCTTCTTTTTGTGGTTATAAACCTTGTGTTAAAATTTTATTGATTTCTATTTACTTATACTAAAGTTATTATCTGGAAACCATCTGTATTTGGACGAAGCTGATGACAACGTGATACCAATATACGACCAAAAAATTTTGAATTTTTGCGGTCGTATAAAAACCTAAACACTTTGTGACGCAATCAAATAAATGTTGGCTCTATTTTTCTGCATATGGACAATAATAATATAACACTTGAAGCCTTTGCATGATGTCGATACAAGGACATATTGACCTAAAGAAGTATATGAACCTCAGACTTTGTCCTCAGTCGATATACTTCTTTCCGGGCTGTGATATACGTACCATTATGTTTAAAAGTTTTGATTGAAGCACCTGATAACCTGGATCCTAGTACTAAGGAAGCATGATTCAATTCATCACTTAGGATAAGGCTGCCCTGAAAATACCAAAACAATAATGTGCATTAAAAAATTGAGGTTAAAAAAATATTACTGCTTGGTTCACATTTTTGTAAAATAACCAGTCTTATTTTACATATCAAGAAAATAAAATAAAACTAGAGCTGAATAAGATCAGAATTTATGATTTACATTTATACTTTTTAATATGAGATAAGGTTTTGATAAAAAGTATAGCACAAACTTGAGCCCATTGATGTCAATATCATGGTCATCAATCTTAAAATGCAAGAATTCCGGTGCTAGGGGCCGTCTTAAACTTGCATTGAGGTGTTGAAGGCCTCACTGTGAATTTGAGATGAAGAACAGCAATAAAAGCACTGTTCCTTTGCTTATTAAGTTTTTTTGCTGTGCATGTACTGATTTTGTGTCATGAATGGATACCCCATATCCTTTGTTTTCTATAATATCATTACCTTTCCAACAAGACTTGGCATATTCATTGCATTAGTAGCAAATCCCATCGGCAAAGTGATAGCTGCCTCCATCCCAAGATATTCGGCTACAAGATTATCTAGTTTCTGATGTATATCTATGTATCCTGAAAAGTAATTGTATAACAATTCATTTACTAAAAACTAATATAAATGTAACATTTAAGAATCAACATATGGACCAGGAGCACATGACATGCCCTTCTTGTGCATATAGAAATTGTTGCAAGAATGAAATAGAACATTTAGAAGGTTTTTTATCAGAATTCAGTCAAATGGCCAGTTAGAAAAGGTTGCATGATGATATCCTAAACACAAAAATAATGTTTAAAAATTGACTATTAAAAGTCCCATAAAAAAAAAAATAAGTCAAAAGGGAACTTTCTTTCTACGGGTTATGCAACAGTTTCATAATTTGTAAGGAATTTAGAGGGAGAAAGATGCACAGAACAGAAAAAAAGGTAGTTGGTAGAATTTCAAGGTAAAATAGTAGAAAATAAATTTTAACAAAAAAAATATTCATAAAATACTAACAAAAAATGACTTAACCATATTTTAAATCTGAATTATCTCCCCTTGTAAATTAATTTGTTGATCTCTAAACTTAACTTAACTTTTAACCATGTTTGCTGTTTTCCTAGAAGGAATTTAAATAGTATGAAATACATATCTTACAATCAATAACGATTATTTAACTCTGTTTTAATATTATTTATACCATGAGATTTTCAAAGTCATATATATTTTGCAGCTGATATTTTGTTTGTGTAACCATGTTTGTATTAAAGCTACAAGATGTACAAAATATTTTTCAGGCTTATGGATGCATTTGTTCTTCTCTCAGCAGGATTTGAACCCTTGCTTCTGTGACATCGTGGCAACACCGCCTGCACCGTGATAGTATTGATGTATGTGAGACAACTAACTAATGGACGGACGCACAGACCAGAAAACATAATGCCCCTACTACTATCATAGGTGTGGCATAAAAAATATTAATATATATGTATCTCATACTATCTAAATTGCTTGGCTGAGCTAAAAGATGTACTATTGATGTATATGAGACAACTATCCAAATCTTTACTGGGTTTTCATACATCATTTTTTCATGTTTCATATTAGATATACAAAGGGAGACAACTTGTGTTTTCTGTAACCATGGATATTATTTATATACCCTTTTCACATAGGATGTTTCAATAAAATGTTGAAACTAAACTTTAATAAAATAAAAATCATTTTAAATCTTGACAATGGCCATTCAAAAAAAAATCAAGTTTAAAGAATAATGCATGGTGAAAAATATTCTTTCATCAAGGAAATTCATTTCAGATAATTATCCAAGTACATCCAAAGTTTTCATTATGGAATAAAGTGGTAGGCTTTAAAACTGTCCGACTAAAGCCAGCCCCACTTCTCGCTTGCATTTGTAGCTAGTGGATAGTGGGGGCTAGCTTTTGTCAGACTGGCTTCAAAAGGTGTCATGCTGAGTAAAATGGGAGCATTAAAAGGCATCATTATGGAGGAGAGGGGGAGGAATCAAAAGATGTCCTTTTGTGTTGTTCACTGTATCATTTCTTCAGTTGTTCTTTTATCAATTTTTTGTTAATGTTGTAATTGAAGATACTGCAGAATCATTTATTTTCATGTATTGAGGAAACTTCCCTTATATTTCAAAGTACAAACAGTTTATTTATTTGATGTCTAGGGAATCTGAAAATGTCAATATATCAGTGTCAAGATTTATTAGTATTTTTTTTTTAAATAAGAGAAAATTTGCATTCCAGTGTCTAAATATACATGTAGTAGTGATGTTATTTAATATGTTTTATGTATTACAAAGGGTTAATATTCTATATTCTATTATATTTTTTTTTTTTTTTTAAAACACCATCTTGTATGGAGGATAGTTATACATGTATTGATATATTTATTTTCAAATTAATATACCTTAAAAATTACTGTATAATCAATAATAGACATATATATGTATATGCTGGGAAACAGGCCCTTTAATTGGATTTAATATAGTATTTGTATTGTATATTACAGTTGATGGTTTTGCCAATGTCTATATATAATTTATTCTTTGTTGTACATTTAAATTTGTGGTTTACATTTAACAACAAAAATAGGTACCTCAAAAATAATAATGAACCCAATGTTGTCCAATTTTTTTAACTTTTGATTCAATAAAACTGCTATTAATTTACTAATATATATATATATTCTATAGATATTATATTTTTCTTCCTTGCATTACGTACCTAACTCTTGTCTACTTGCACACGTTCCAATACCATAATTTTGTGTTGTCTTTTCAACGGCATCTGCACATGGACCTTTGCAATCAGAAAATCCTAAATAATTGTATGACCCTAGATTTATCACATTATGTTTTCTGCCTGTCAAACTGAAATAATAATATTATGGTCAGTCAAAAGCTCCAATTTGTAAACAAATAAGAATATGGTGTCAATGTTGGACAGCCTAGGTTAAAGATATGTCTGTCTAAACTCACATGTTTTTGTAGTTTTACATATTAACATACCAGAATACCTAATGTAGTGGTCTGATCTTTAAATTAAGGGCAAAAATAAAATTTAAATTGTTTGATGTTGACTACCTACCCACCTAAATTTTTTTTTAAATATTTTTTCCTGCTCTAACATTGTTTTCTTGTCTAAAACATAAAAAATCCCTAACTACCTCCCCAACCCTAAAAGGCATGGGTAGGCAACATCAAACAAAGAATTTCTTAAGGGTGGCCTTACACCTACTGTATCCTATTCCTTATTGTGATATTTTGGTGGAGTCTAGATTAGAATGGCCCACAATGCGTTGCAATAGCAGGAGACTTTTTCCCGATCAACTTTCCAGGTCTTTCTCTATTTGAAGTTTGTGTGATTCTTTCAAATTTTATCACAGTTTCACTCATGATTTGAAACTTAGTTTGTATATTCAAATTCAATTGTGAAATATGAAAAGTATTTGTATTCCTGTTAAAAGTTGCACAAAAACTTCTTATCTGCAGTGCACAAGCGTGCACATTTTTAGATTTATAACTCAAAATATTGTGTAAGGCAAGTATTGTATAAATCAAACAAATAATTTCCTCCGGTTCAAGCTTTATGACTTAAAAATTCCAAGTTTACATGTATTCCTTGTCATCCGTGATGTGCAAAAGTAACATTTTATTTAAAACTGTCTCTATTTATTAAATTGGGTTTGTTTGTTATTATCAATCAAAATAAAACACTTAAATGATACATGTATCATTGTCCAAAATAATCAATTCTTTAACTTCATTTTAATGAGACAAAATTTCGTGACAATGAATCCATAAAAAATTATCTAGATAAGGACCAGCAATAAATCTGGATAACCTGTAGTTCCTGCCATGTCTTAAATCTTTTCCAGATGCACATGTTTTTCTGTACTCCCCGAGTATATTTTTTTGTGTTAACACATCCATATTTTTCAATTCCTTTGGATGAATCTCAACAATACAAAATTTTATTTCTATCAATCTATGATATATTGTCTACATATAGACAAAATAACATATGGAAAATTGTCCTTCTCTGGACATTATTTTATAAGCGGCGACAAAATATAAATTATGATAGATAATCATGAAATTTTGTCCTGGATACACTATTTTGATCTATCTTATTGGGACAACATTTTGCTTTACCCTTTAATTCATATACTTATAATGCTTGACATGCTTGACACTTTTGATATTGGAAAATTTAATATAATTGAGTGGTAATCCGTATCTCATTGGAGAGGTTGGAGACATTTGTGAAATGTATAATCACCGTTGACTGATAATATAACCTGTAATCATTTAAATGGAAGTCATTAATTTTTTTGTAAAATACTTTCCCACAGTTTTTTTAACATGAGTTACATTTTTTGGTAAAATTCCATGAGAAACTGATAAGAAATATTTTGAAACATTCTTTTTTGAACAGTTGTATGTTTAGTGAGAACATGTAAAGATAGATAAAGAATGCAAAAAATTTTGGACAGTAAACCTCTTCCAAATATGTATCATGAAAACTTTGTGTTCAAACTTAATGATCCTCTAAAATATATTTAATGGTTACAAATCAACAAAATACAGTTTTATAAATATATTTCTGTTTCATTTTATGGTCAAGCAATGTGTCAAATGATGAAATATTTAAAATTTAGGTACTCTTATTACATGTATTATGGAATAGAATTCCTTTATAATATTAGTTCCACTGGAAGAAATATTCCGAAAAAGGTATTACAGTATGTGCTCCTGATGTAATAAACAGCTGCGCCATGAGCGCATGATACGCCTGTCGCTTTTTTAAAGAATAAAGTTCAATAACTTCTCAATGTCATTTCAGAAATTTATGAAAAACTAAAGGGAGGTTAGCTTAATAGATATAAACCAGTCAATAAAGTTTCATGAAAACTGCTCAAAGCACTTTAAAGATATTGTCCGAAAACTGGAAAATCACCCCCTTTTTATGAATAAAATCCCATAACTCGGAAACGTAAAATCTAAAATTTATAAAAATCAAAAGGGAGCTTATGTCAATAGATATAAACAATTCATCAAACTTTCATGAAAACTGCTGAAAGCATTTTTGAGTTGTTGTCCGAAAACTGGAAAATCCCCCTTTTTTTAATGAATAAAACCCCAAAACTCGGAAACATAAAATCTAAAATTAATAAAAATCGAAAGGGAGCTCATGTCAATAGATATAAACAATTCACAAAAGTTTCTTGCAAATTGGTGAAAGTGTTTTTGAGTTATTATCCGGAAACTGGAAAATCCCCCTTTTTTAATGAATAAAACCCCATAACTCGGAAACTTAAAATCTAAAATTTATAAAAAACGAAAGGGAGCTCACGTCAATAGATATAAACAATTCAACAAAGTTTCATGCAGATTGGTTAAAGCCTTTTTTAGTTATTGTCTAACATGTTGACGACGGACGGACAACGGTACACCATAATACGTCCCGTAAACGGGCATATTATAAAGGGTATTATAGAATATTTGTTCCAACAGGAACAAATAGTGTAGTATTATTTATAACAAACTTTCAGAGGAAATTTGTAAGGAGGAACAAATATATTTTGACGATATTTCTAAATTCATGAATACACTGTTAAAACAGTACTGTATGGAATCTTCATGAAATATTTCAAATTTTCACTTTTTACAAAGAACTTCCTTTTACATGTTGTAACAAAATAAATAACTGCAAAACTATTGTGACTATCATTCAGTACAAGCATTAGTAAATATTGGATTCTGCCAAAAAACTATATTATTCCTTTCTTAATGATATACATACTCTGCGGTCCACCAATGATCTTTTGTAGTTCTTTCAAGAACATCCATGGTAGGTCCTGCTACCCCACAGATCGGTCTGTTAAAGCAGTCACGAATCCTTCTGTACACATGGCGAGTATAGAAACTTTCCCAACTTTGAAACAGTGGTACAAATCCCTATTAAAAGAATGCTGTAAATTCAGTAATGTGTGCAAAGTTTTTATTGATTGAAAATTGCTATGGGAATCTAGAAATATGTTTCGCAAATAATAAAAAAAACTCCCATTTTAATAGGATTATTTGTATGCAGCATTTTCTGAAATTTTAATAAATAATCTCAAACTATTGTCCTTTGTTCAACAGTAGCATAATAAATTGTAGCAAGTACTGTAAATTCACAAATGATTGCAAGGTTTTTATTAATGCGAATAATATGACTGGATGAATATTGCATTCGGATATCTTATACATAGATCTGTATGCAGATTTTCCTGAAATCGCAATAAGTGATATCGCATTTTTGTCCATTTTTCAAAATTCGCAATAATAAATGCACACAACAATTTCTGTATTTACAGTATTCCACAAAGTCCAATACAAAACCAAAAGTATGGTTAAAGATAAATACAAACAAAACCACAAGTATGGTTCAGCATAAATACAAACTCTAATAATAACAGGATTTTATCACTTTAATGTCGTTCCCTGGTTTAAAAAAAAAATATGTAACAAACAATTCCATTCTCATTTGGTATAAAAAACTGTTGAAGTATTGTCAAACATGAAGTAACTACCCCTCAAATCAGAAAATCGGTTACATGATACAACTAGTCATTTATAATGAAGTTCCAAACCACTCAGTGAGTGGGAGTATAACATTTTTACATCGAGATGACCGTGAGGTCATTCCGATGTATTGCTATCGCCTAAATTTTGCACACGTAACTTTCGTTTTGGGATTGTAACCGATCTACAAACATGATAAATACGCAGATATTAAACTAGTGAACTAACATTCCTTATCATTTGTTATAAATACATCTCTTCAATGAATACTGATAAAAATATTTTTGTTTAGAACATAAATTAATAATATGAAAATGTTTTGTCGTTAGATAAATATATATATATATATATATATGTAAAAAATCATTGATTATATCTATGCACACGTACCGAAAAATTGTGCTAAAGCATGTGGAAGAATATCTCAAGAACATTTTGCGACAATCCCGGCAAGGACCGGTAACTCTGTAATTGTTTTTGCGGGAAAATATGAACTCCTACTAATATCCAATCTTTTAGAAAAATCGACTTTTTACAGAAGAGTGTCCACCATGCACTTGCACAGCACTATTATTAGAATAGTAGAATAGAATGATATACAAATGGATGAAAATTATATATACATGTAACTGTTATATTAATATAATATATAACAACAAACCAGTGTATACTGATTTGTATCACTACAATTTAATAGTTATTACGGTGAGGTTGAATTTCCTGTCATTTATTCATCATCCACGCACGAACTTGTCTCAGACAAAAATATATCTCTGTACATTAACCTCAGTTTCAGGTAAAGAGAAGTGATTTTTTTCTGTGACAAGTGCTTTTGACCAGCCACAAAAACTTGCGGTCATCCGATGTTCAGTACTTCAGTACTTTGATTAACGTAGTTTAGATTAAATTTCATTGTCCAAAACAATGACTGATGATTATTGGCTTCTGAACGTCCAGTGGCAAACATTTCATGCATGTTCAGGACGAGAACAAATTAATACATACAAAAGGATGGACCTGTAATAGGGGTCGGCCTGGATGAAGGACGGGCATTTTGGACTGCCACTGAAAATGAAGGTAAATTGAATAGGGACAGAAATTTAGCCTAACAACAGGCCACCTACAGACCCCTCAGAGTTGTTGCAACAAATAGAAATATAAGAGAAACTTTTATGTCTAGCAATTATCCATAAACAATGAAAAGAGACTGGTAGCTTTATTATATTTCTGTAGTTGAAAAAAATGAATGCGTTCATGTAGATTCTATACTTATTACCATACATCATGGTTTAAATTCAGTAGGTATAAATCCTTTTTTTAAGTTCAGAAAATATTAAAGGTATTTCTTTGAGCTCTATGATTTTTACTTGACTGGCAATTTGTTTACCAGTATTATGGATAAGTGGTTTTCAATTAGGCAACAAAACCACATATGAAAAAATTACATCATACATAACTTGTATTTTTATTACTTTTTATTTATGGGATAGTTTTGCCATATAACAGCCCTATTGCTATCATATGTGTGTCTGCATCACTACTCATTGTCAAAAATAAATCTGACACACATTTTAAAAAAGGACTGAATCAGCAATAAACAAAAATTTTAAATGATAAAAAATAAAAACATGTGAACATGTAAAACAAAAAACAGAATATAAACAAGAAACTGATCAACGAACTCAACACTTACGTTCTGAAATTTGCAGAATGTTTACAAGCATCAAGTTTAAAAAAAAGGTGAAAATATACTTTTTATTAATAACTGTAAATTAAATCAATTTATAAATAAAGATTTCCTACACATTGAAAACAAAATCAAATATTCAATCTTTAAATAGCTAACTTGATTATAGAAATATTTTATTTTGTTTATTAATATAAATATATTTTCAGGAGTAACACACTAGAAATTTCTAGGTGTTCGTGTTGCTCAGTCTTTGGTTTTCTCTGTTGTGTTTTGTGTACTGTTGTTCATTTGTCTTTTTCTTTTTAGCCATGGCATTGTCAGTTTATTTTCGACTTATGAGTTTGAATGTCCCTTTGGTATCTTTCGCCTCTTTTTTTCAAAAATATTGAACATTTATGTATGTCATGTTTGTATCATTCAAATTTTTTTTAATTTCATTACTGGATTTAAACAAAGACAATGCTGCTTATATCAAATAAAAATTTCCGGGTGACCGATTCGAGAAAGAAAAACTGAATTGAAAATATCGAGAATAGCTTATTTATGACGAATTATTTATTATTGTAATCTATTAAAGTTTCAAATCAAAGTTTGATACCTACCGTAAGCCTTGGCTCAGTACATGCCTTGTCATTTTCCAGACCAGTGTTTCTAAGAAAATCTCTTATGTGTCCTACCAGAACTAATATCCCATAACATAAATAGGTTAAAACAGCTATATAAATAGGGGTTTCCTCAAAATTCTCTTGGAAAACCTTTGAGCACTCAGGCAGTGACTGAAAAGAAGAAAATGAAGAAATAAAACAAAGCAGTCTAAAAACACCCTATAACCTGCTATTAGTACAGTACTACAAGGGGTGTTTAACGACCTTGACTACCTATGAGGGTCTCGCACAGTAGGTACAGCAAATATAATATGATATGTGTTCATGATTGATATTAGAACAATTGTGTTGGCTATATATCTACCATGTACAGCAGATTTTTTTCTGTTTCCGATTGACATTGTAGTACAATGGATTTTCCAAATCACATACAGCAGATTTTGATTTGTGTTACCAATTACATCTGTCGTACCAATGTACCAATGTACCAATGTACCAATAGACGATATATGTGTTCAATTGAATAATATCTTTTGAGGTGAAGAAGAACTAAGACCTTTATGTTTTTGATGCTTTTAAAACTGTTTTGTTTAGCTTCATAAAATTTAGATTAAAACCTTGTTTCCTTACAATCTTTGAGTACATTGAGAAAACATTGCATATATTGTATGAGACTTAAGTCATCAAACATTGCATATATATATATGTATTGTATGAGACTTAAGTCATCAAACATTTTTTTTTATATATTTTTAAGATAATTTGTCCCAGAAGTAGTACACTACACTGTAACATACAGATTCAATCTGAATAAGAAAATACAGTTTGATTACACAAACTTTATACTATTAAGGTAGATGGGGTGTTTAAATTATAATCCATAGAATTTTTTAATAATTTGCCAAAATGTAGTTTATATCATGCTTTTTTAAAAAAAATAATAAAAAGAATGGGTCACGGGCCTTATTTTCACGCTACAGGTTGTGCAAAATTGACAGATTTTGTATAGATTATGCATGGAAAACCCAATTTTCTGCCATAAAATGAAAACTACACCATAGAATTTTGAGATAAAATATGAGAAGATAGCTCTAATAGTATGCTTTCAGATAAGAAAAAGAAAAAATGGGGTCACCGGACCCGTTTTCTTGCTACATAATAAAATAGATAAATTCTTAACACATTCTATTGTAAAAGTAACTTAATGTGAATTATCTGCCCTTACATTTGAGTTGCCTCCCCTTATGTGACAAAGTTGGAAGATATAGAATCAAACAAAAGTATTCTGTTTTTTAGTAAAATACAACCATAAATATGATAAAATATGTCATTTTCTATATTGAAATGAAAATTCTTACACATGAATTACCTACTACTCTCAAAATTTGCACCTTTTATTATAGATCTAGACCGATTGTTTTCTGGTATTTCACAATCCAAGATTGAGGAAGACACCCTATCTACCTTAAATAGTTCATGCCAGCATTTTGGCCAGAGTCCTCGGAATCTTTTTTTTCCTGGTAGTCCTTGAAGAAAATCTGCTGGTCCTCACTATTATTTCTATTGCAAAATACCAAAATTGTGTTAGTCCTTTGAAAATTTTGGTGGTAAAAACCTTCAGACCACCACTTTTCGAGAACTCTGTCATGCAAGTTCAGGACGATGCTATTAAAGGATCGTTTAGGTATGCTTGGTTGAAAATGGCCCACTGGTTTTAGAGGGAATATATCTGGAAAAGTTAACAGATGGACAAAGACAGAAAGATGAATGCCAAAAATATATGGCAAAAGGTCTTATTAACCCTTAGGGCAAGGTGAGCTAAAAAAGTAAAGAGGTATCCAAAGGTCAACATAATATCTTCCAAAATAGGCTTTTCTTCAGTCCTCTTTTGACATAATTCATGGATGTTTATCAAATTAACCATATTCAAGATTTTATTTATTTTTATATTATAATATTTTATTTTGAGTTTTAATTTATCACAATCAAGTGTCTGGTCAAGAAAAGCTGTGTGTGTGTCTAAGGGACCTTATATAATGTTACATGTGTATATACAACCACTATATCATATATGCAAATACTATCATGTTACATGTGTATATACAACCACTATATCATATATGCAAATAAAATGTTACATGATGTGTAATTCAATCCCAATATCATAAAGGCAAATCAAATGTTAGAACAGCTGTTATTATCAGTTCTTGTAGATTAAAATATCAATATGAAAATCAGTCATAAGATAGCTAATATAAAATGTATTGTATCTGAGAGCTTTGTCATCTCTGATAAATAAGTAGGTGATTCAATTCATAAAATTATGTCACATTTTGTACAAGGAGTAATACCACCATTGTTTTTCCCCTATTAGAAATTTGTTAAATTTGCAGTTTTCAAAAAATTGTGCAGAATTTATCTTTGTTTGAAATAAAGAAATGCTTGGCATGAGTAAAGTTTTATCCTGTCCAGTACTACAGACAAAATTTCTGATAACATTTCATTGCATATAAGATAATAACTATCACTGGAAGTTAACCTATCAAATTTTCACCCCTTTCTTTCCTGTTTACCAGCTTTAGTAACCATATAACCTCAAGTTTCCAAAATATTTTATAGAAACACCAAATTAAAAAATAATGGTGCTTATGTTTATGACTCTGAAATTTTTTACTGCAATGAAATGTAGGATTAATTTCCTATAACTGTCAAATTCAAGGGAATATTTTTGTCGACCCTTTTCTTATCAAACTGGATGTGACATACATGTACTATGATTTGGTAGTATTCACCTACAAGAGAAATTTCATATTTATTGAACATTGATAAACAAACTCTTAATCTAATCTTACATTTCACTGAAGTCTCCAAAGCAATTTCTTGCTTATTGGAAAGCATGTACATGTGTATCTGTATATAAAAACAGAGAATACATGTACATTTTTTCTTATTATTAGCAAAGTTTAAGCTTATATTTTTTGCATATTTCATTAATTAATAAAAATATACTGGATAAATCAATACAAATGTAAAGCATAATTTTTATAATTTGACACTTGTTATTTTTTATAAATGGGTGAATATATCATGTCTTTCTTCATTGTCAAATAAATTAACATTTCCCCCCTCAGGAATGTAAACAATACATTGTACATGTAATAGGCTGTTCAATCATTTACACAAAACATATTATACAAAAGATACATTTATATAGATGTTGAAAAAATCAAAATGTGTTTTACACAAATTTGTACTTTATATGAATAGATCTACACATTCTTTAGTTTATTAAACCAGAGACATATATGTGTATATATGTCTCCGATTAAACCAATTACATTCTACATATAACCAAATCATGGGAAAAGGATATAGGGAAACACATTCTGTATTTTTATTTTGTGTGTGTTGTATCTCTACATGTTTATGCATAGATACATGTACATCAAATTTTGTCGTTGCTTTGCATTAATAAATTTTAAATGTCTCTGTCTTGATGTTGATTTATACTTTTTAAGACAAATATGAATTTCTGAACCAAAAATTCATATAGCTATATAAGAAAAATAACACTAACATCATTCTTTGTATAAAAATAATGATTTCTCAGTAATGACATGTCATTAAAATATTTCATAATATAAACCATAAAAAACTCTACACATTTAGGTGAGTTTAACAGTGAAAATTTCATCAAAATCTTACCTCGTAACTTTTTGACCATGTTTTAAATAATCATTTTTTTAAGTGGCGAAATATTTTTAACCTTAGACATTTATTTTGATAAACTTTAATCATTAATTTAAATTCAGTTTTAGGTCTTGAAAACTATCAAAGTTGGGTTAAAAAAAAGTTAAAAAGACAGAATGACCAAGATTTTTTTAACTTGTTCAAAAATCTATTATGATTTGGCAACAGGTTTACCTTTTCTGATCGTTGAGAAAGAAACTAACTGATATCAAAGTGTTTGTAAATAATTCTTTCAGCTGTTATGAAATATTGCAGTAGGTCTTTGAAAAGGGATTAAAAAGATATAACTTTACTATCTTTTGTTTTTTCAATGGTATAAAATTTCAGTTGTCAAGTTTCATATCCACTGATAAATCAATATCTATAAATCCAAGCTAATCCTAGTATCACAAGTATCATATTCAACAACAGTTTAATTAACTAGAAAATATCTTATTCATTTATGCAACTATAACTTGAAATGTGTAGATACATATATATTCTTAATAGCATCATATAAATAATATTTACATTGTAGTGTCATGTGGACCATAATTAGCCTCCAGCTGTTAAGTGTGTGTGTTGTTACATTTTATCATACATTCAACATGGGAGTTTGTAAGGAAACAACTATATACGTGTGTAGATAAGCTGAATCATTTTTAGTACGATATTTATAACTTTATATGAGACATACCTTGGTTCCATTTGAAGAATGTCCATTTTTCTTAATTCCATCTTTTGTTATGACTGGATTTCCATTTTGATGCTTCATTATAATTTTACAGTTTTAAAAATCAAATAGCATGCGAACTTATTTGTAATTATGCACACTGTGCAGATGGAATCTCGGCTTGTAACACACGTGTTAATATTCCTTGTACATGTTCACCTGTCGAGAAAAAAAATCAAATTGACATTTGTTTGTTAAAAAACTAAAGGTACAAAAATTTCCAACAACTGAATCACTTATTATCCCCGGCAGCCACGGCTGATAATCTTTACAACACTAAAACAGATCATAATAGTCATGCTCGAGAGTCATGTCCTGGTGGGGAGGGGGCGTGGACAAGTTTATTTACAATTAATTTCAATAAGAATTTCATAACATTAATCATTGTTGATTATTGCGATAAAGAAATTATACAATACTTACTATGTATACGATTGCTTTGCGGCTTGCTAAATCCCAATTTACTAGTTATTTTAAACTTTCCCGCAAAAATAAGTGTGATACGGTGATTATTCAGACAGTGGTTCGATTGTGTGTATAAACATACGATGTACCGCAAATTTGATTGGATAAAACATCCGTGTATCCACTATTCCAGTGCGTGTCAGCGTATTGTTATAATTTATGCTATAACGTAACAACGAAAAATTACATCACGCTGGGTCGTGGCTGTTGACATGAAGATCCATGAACATGATAGACATAGCCAAGGATTTTTATTGTATATATATATTTAAAAAAGGCCTTTTAACTATACAAATCCTCGAATTAGCTTCACAGAAAACAGAATAGTTTAATTAAAAAAACCAGAATGGTTCTATTAGTGTTGAAAGTTTTCAAACAATATTTTTAAAACAAATAATCAAATAATTAATGACCACACCCACAGGCCATTAAGAATTAAGAATGAAACATTTATAAATATTAATAAACCCATCACTCCACGCACACACAAAACTGGTTAATCGATGCAATAGAAAGATTCAAATCATTTTACTGTCGGCTAAAATCAATTTAAAAAAACAATATCCATTCAAAGCTGAGGGCGTATATGTCTCCTTTCCGAAAAAGGATGATTTTCTCTCAAATACAATTTGTATGCATAAAATATAATTTCCCCATTTGAAAAACAAGGTTTTAATTCAGAAATATAATATACTTGAAGGGCCTCTGCATCATTTTTTTTTTAAATTTATAGCTATCGTTCGCCCCCCCCCCCCCCCCCCCCCCCCCCAAAAAAAAATGATAATCATTGCGGAAAGTGGAGTCATGATTATTATAATATTTTCACTCGATCTTAACAAAATTGAAATTTTAACCGAAGAAATAGAGTTAACTTGTATCAAAGTATAAATGTAAAAGATAGCACACCCAAGTAAAAAAAGTTCTTCAAAACAAAATTTAACTATACATTCAGAAATAGTGATCGTAAACTTTTGATTGAAACAAGGATACAGTTTAGCTACGCTTGGATTGAGATTTATTTTTACCGTATGACTTTACTTAGAGAGGGTTCAAAATAAATGCTTTATAGATTTCTATAGTATCAATGTAAAATATCTCAGATGTTAATGTGTAAACTTATCGAAAACTATAATGCTTCACGTTACAGAATTTTTGAAGGCTGTACGGTGACCTAAAGATGCCGCTTACATTCAGATCATTTTGGGTCCTGTTGGGTAGTTGTCGCATTGCGCAATCCTACCACATCTCCTTATTTTATGTTAACTTCCTACTGCTAGCTGTAATTAAAATGAGTAACTTAATCACAACTAGCGTAAATTTCATTTCCTGAAAAAAAAGTAGAGAACTATATGTGTAATGTATTTTTATCATAAAAACTGGGTGTCTATATCATAGCAATCGACTATATATTATTAAGTGGCATGCACTATACAAAATGTACAACATGCATGACAAAGCGGCAGTAAATAAAAGTGATCTTCGAGTCTAAGTTTGATCAAACCGGGGATCTAATCATCCGAGACCACCTACCATGAGACCAATGGGCGGACAGCTGGGAATGAAAGAATGACATGGTACGTGAGCTAAGCTTTGACAAAATAGAACTGAAAACTTGAGCAATCCTTTTTTTAATTAAATGATTTGTGGTACAGCGAACTAAAGATGATTACCATCATGAACGATAGGTTCCTATAATGTCCAGCGGCAAATGCTACATGGAGATTCAAGATAATGTATCTATATCATAAGATATGAATATACCCTGCTTTGTACCTGACAAACACGCCGAGTCAGATTTCAAAGGGGCTAGGCTTCAGGGTTTCGAACACGTTCATATATATATATGTATTATCTGGACTTTTTCTTGCTTTTTAAAGTAGTTTTCCATATACCACTGAAATAATGATAATAATTATGATTAATACTTTATTTAAAGAGGGTAAAATCAGTTAGTACAATACTAATCTCCCATGTTTCCTGAATAACTCAAAATATAATAATATAATATATACATAAACATACATACAACTTTTAATGCAAAACAAATGGGGAAAACACAGATTTTAACGTTCTCTGATTAACTCAAAATATAATAATATAATATATACATAAACATACATACAACTTTTAATGCAAAACAAATGGGGAAAAACACAGATTTTAAGTGATGTACAAGACAAATATATGGATTTTTAGACTATAGATACATTTCTGTGATAATCATTATTTGGTTGGTTTTACATGTTGTATATGAATCTGATGATAAAATTTAGCTTTTTAGCTCACCTGGCCTAAAGGGCCAAGTGAGCTTTTCTCATCACTTGGCGTCCGTCGTCGTCGTTAACTTTTTACATTTTGAACTTCTTCCTGAGAACCACTGAATTGAATTAAACAAACATGGCATGAATGTTCCTTATGAGGTGCTGACCAAGTGTTGTTACTTTGTAGCCGATCCATCATCCAAGATGGCCGCCAGCGGGGGGACTTTGTTTAACATAGGACCCTATGGACAATACATACAAATGTCTTCTTTTAGAGAATCACTGAATGGAATGAAACCAAACATGGCATGAAAGTTCCTTATGAGGTACTGATCAAGTGTTGTTACTTTGAAGCCAATCCATAATCCAAGATGGCCGCCAGCGGAGGACTTCATTTAACAAAGGACCCTATGGACAATACATACAAATGTCTTCTTTTAGAGAACCACTGAATAAAATGAAACCAAACATGGCATGAATATTCCTTATGAGGTGCTGACCAAGTGTTGTTTCTTTGAAGCTGATCCATCATCCAAGATGGCCGCCAGAGAGGGACTTAGTTTAACATAGGACCCTAAGAGAAATATATACAAATGTCTTCTTTTAGAGAACCACTGAATGGAATGAAATAAAACATGGCACGAATGTTCCTTATGAGGTGCTGACTAAGTGTTGTAACTTTGTAGCTGATCCATTATCCTAGATGGCCGACAGCAGGGGACTTCGTTTAACATAGGACCCTTTGGACAACACATACAAATGTCTTCTTCTAGAGAACCACTGAATGGAATGAAATAAAACATGACATGAATGTTCCTTATGAGGTGCTGACCAAGTGTTGTTACTTTGTAGCCGAACCATCATCCAAGACGGCCGCCAGCAGGGGACTTAGTTCAACATAAGACCCTATGGGAAATAAATACAAATGCTTCTTCTCGAGGAGCACTGAATGGAATGAAACCAAACATGGCATAAATGTTCCTTATGAGGTGCTAATGAAGACCTTAATACATGTATCTTTATAGATTGAGATCAACTGTAAACTGCAAACATAGCAAGAAAAGAAGATCTACACATAAGTCAACATGAGCAAAATTGTCAATTGATATATTGTTGGAGTTATTGTCCTTATAAAGCCATTTTCAACATTTTTAATTAATTTATTGGTAATTTCTGTAAACTTTACAAAAGACTTCTGCTTTTGATTAAATTACGGGGCCAATATTAAACCAAATTTGGCCTCAATCATTATTAGGGTATCTATTTTTACATGATTTCCAAAACCAAAGTAGAATCAGGTGACGACACAGGCTCTTAATTGAGAGCCTCTAGTTTTTTCGAGAGCAAGAAATTATGATACCTTTGTTTGAACTGTTTTATCTTTTCTATCTTTTTTATTTCTACAGAAATACTGTTCTCGGACGTGGTTTGAATAGACAATTATTGTCCGATGAACGCAAGCATTATCTTGCATTGACATTTTGGTTATTGTTAAATAATTGACACAGATAATCAGGTGCAATACTATTTACACACTTATACATTTATACTCCTTTGTGATATATGATTCTTTTTTGAAAAGTTACCATCCTAATTGTTTGAATAAAGTTTTTTGACGGTGTATCATATGCTTTGCTAAGAATGATTCTGACTGCCCTTTTTTGTAATTTTAACATTTTTTCCATATTTGAATTACTTGTTTCTGTCCATATTGTACAGCAATAATCCAAGAGAGGAAGTACATATCCATTATAAAATATACATAAACCTTTTTGTGGAATATAATGCTTCAATCGATTTAGTAAACCTAGTCTAGTTGAAATTACGGTACATACTTTGTTTATTTGTTGATTCCACGAAAGACAATCATCGATTAAAATGCCAAGTATTTTTTCACTGTTTACATTTTGTAAAAGAATTCCACTGTATTCTATCTGCAATGTTTCTTCTATGCTTTGAAGCTTCCTATGTGATCCAACCAACATAAATTTGGATTTTTTTATATTCAAAATCATATCATTATTTTCACACCATATTTTAAAAGTTGCTATTTCGTCACTAAGTTTATCACATATATCATCAACGGAATTTGAAGAGTATTCAAGTGTTGTGTCATCCGCATACAAATCAGGCTTTGTATGATTTAGTTGAAGTAGGAGATCAAATATATATAAAAGAAATAATAGAGGGCCTAGAATACTGCCCTGCGGAACACCAAATGTTACTTTTTTACCTGAAGATATGTTGGTATTTATTTTGACTTTTTGAAACATGTTTGATAAATATGATTTGAACCATTTAAAAGAAAGAGAATCAAACTTATACATTTCTAATTTTGATAATAAAATTGAGTGATTTACAATATCAAAAGCTTTTTTTTAAATCTAAAAATACAACTCCCGTGTAGTTTCCTTGATCCATGTTAATTAACAACTCTTCAACAATTTTCGTTAGAGCTGAGTGACAGGAATGGCCGTGTCTAAATCCAGACTGGTACTTATAAATCAAATCAAATTCTATCAAATATTTGTAAATTTTGGAATAAATAATCTTTTA